CTAATGCTTGCCGTCTGGCTTTTGTACCTCAGTCAGGAAATTGGAAGGTTGGTCTCTAGAGAAATGATACCAATAAAAAAAGACTGACAGATACTGACCATAGCAAGTCCAGCAACAAATGATCAAATCTCTGCCCATTCCTTTAAAAAAAGTTCATAATTATCTTTTTTTAGTGCTTCACTTCTAAACATGAAGAGGATCATCTCACATTTTATTTCATTATTTATTTATTTTTGATACCAGGAATTGAACCTGACACTTGCCTTACACTTACCAAGCAGGTGCTGTACTGCTGAGCTACATCCTCAGCCCCATCACATATTTTAAAGCAGAACAGAGTCTTTTGCCTCAGGGATAATTAGCTAAAAATCCATCAAATGACATCTAGATCATACAAAGAACTGAAAATGATCAGGTTCCCAAATTCAAAGATTCATTTCAAAAATGGGCATCTGAAATGAACACACACTTCTCAGATGAAGAAATACAAATGGCAAATATGTGAAAAAATGCTCAACATCACTGGTCATTTGAGAGACGCAAATTAAAACAACACAGATTCCATCTCACTCCAGAAAGAATGACTATCAAGAAATCAACCAAAAACAAATGCTGGAGAGGTTGTGGGGGAAAAAGAACCGTTCTCCACTGTTGGTAGGAGTGTAGACTGGTACAACCAATGTGGAAATCAGTGTGGAGACTCCTCAGAAACTTGGAATTAGAGGTCCCATTCAACCCAGCTACTCCCTTTTTGAGTATTTTCCCAGAAGAGTTAAAAACATCATATCACTGCAATACATATGAACCCATGTTTATAGCAGCACAATTTGTAATAGCTAAATCTTGCAAACAACTCAAATGCCCATTAACCATGGAATGGATTAAAAAGATGCAGTCTTTTCATAGAATGGAGGATACTCAGACACAAAGAAGGATAAACTGGAGACCTGTATAGGTAAATGGATGCAACCAGAGACCATAGTCGTAAGTGAAATACACCAGACCCACTTGTGGCAGAAGCTGAAAGAGTAAATAAGATCCATTATCCAGTATAATAACTGTGAAATGAAAAGAACCTGCTCAGAAGGAAAGAGAAATTGGGATTGGGGAGGAAGGGAAAGGATGGAAGGGAAAAGGGGGAACAGGCAAGTCAGTTATATTATTAGTACCACTCAGTTCATCGAAAAGGAAGATCTGTGCTAGTGTCGACTGGAGACATTTTTATGCCCATGGCTTATACTCTGAGCAACTACTTCACGGTAACAACATGCAGAGTATTATCTTTGTGATTCTCCTATTATTTTGTTAGGAAATTTTGTTTTACCTTTTCTCCACAAAAGTTAAAAAAAAGAAAGAAAGAAAGAAAAGAATTCAGAGGAAGCAGGGACAGTGCAGGAGTAGGAGACTTTCAGGCTAAAACTACCGTGTTCAGATTTCTTAGATGTCGCACCCTTGAAACAAGAGCAGGATGTTTTCTGAAAGTCACAAGAAGTCATGACAAAGACAGTTCCTTAACAGGAAATACGGACATCTCCAAGAAAGCAAGGGAAAGACAGAGGGCTGACGATGAGAAGAAACAGTGACAACACAGGAGGTATTACTCTGATGTATTTTGAAATTACTGTATTTTGAAATTTTTGTTAAACAGCCTAGCCTAGACTTTCACCAACAAAAATACCATCAAAATTCTAAGGGAAGTTTTTAAAAAAATCCTATCCACAATTCTATTCTTAGGCAAATCACCAATCAAGTGTGAGTGGGAGAAAAACATGATCACTATAAAAGATCTTTTAAAATGCTACCTACTCCTCTTGTCTAAAACATATAAAGAATTAAAGAAACTCAGACCTCCGAAATTCAAAGATCCAATCCAAAAATGGGCATCTGAGATGAATACGCAATTCTCAGATGAAGAAATGCAAATGGCAAATAAATACATGAAAAAATGCTCATCATCATTGGTCATTAGAGAAATGCAAATTAAAACCACACTGAGATACCATCTCACTCCTGAAAGAATGGCCAGGATCAAGAAAACCGACAACAAATGCTGGAGAGGCTGTGGGGAAAAAGGAACTCTCCTGCACTGCTGGTGGGAGTGTAGACTGGTACAGCCTTTGTGGAGATCTGTCTGGAGATTTCTCAAAAAGTTGGGACTGGAAATCCCATTTATTCCAGCTATTCCACTTCTAGGCATATTCCCAGAAGAACTGAAATCATCATACCACAGTGATATATGTGCACCTATGTTTATAGCAGCACAATTTGTAATCGCCAGATCTTGGAAACAACCCAAGTGCCCATCAACTGAGGAATGGATAAAAAAGTTGTGGTATTTCTATACAATGGAGTATTATTCAGCTATAAAGAAGGATCACATTGAGATATTTATCAATAAATGGGCGCAGCTTGAGACCATACTCATTAGTGAAATAAATCAATCTCGCATGTGTGAATACCGAATAGTTTCCCTAATGTAAATAATGATTCAAATATATAAAAATATGTGGTAATCATGATTCCCCATTAGGTGGCCTTGAAGCCTTATAAAGTTTTCACTCATTAATTAGAAAGGCTTTATTCTGGGCTTCTTGATATGAAAATATTTGAAGCTAGAGTATATGAAGTTTTATCCAAATATTTCAAGGAAAAAGACACTATGGTAACTACTATTAAGTCAGGTTATAAGGTGGTGAAGTACTAGGTTGTTGAAACAGTCATGCTGTGACCTCTATTGTTATATTGTTATGTCCTGTTTTATCTCAATCTCCCCCTTATTGTTTCAAAAAAATTATTTAGTCATTTCTTATGTTTGTCTTAATTAAAGAAAAAATTCAAAAAAATTAGGATATATAAATAGTAACTCTTTTCGATTTCCTATTAACTTGTTTTGAAGTCCTGTAGTACTCCCACGATCTTGTTTTGACTGATTAGACTCTGTTCCATTCTATATGATAGTATCAAGTTTGAAGACACAGGCAACTACTTTGAAGACAATAAGATTCACTAAGATACCCATTCTGGTTTGACTATTGTCTTCTTTGGAAGTCCTGTAATGTTTACAATGCCTAAGTTCTATTGGTCTTGTTCTCTACTGTTTTGTCCAACTTTATAATATCTAATGAGATAGACAATTCTTTTTAAGGAAACAAGGGACAACGTTGATAACCATTGTTGATAAACTTGTACTCTGTTCTACACCATGTGCTATGTCTATCCTTGGTATTGACTGACAGCTTTGTTTTGCCATATTTGACTGTATTCTTTCCCCCCCCCAAAGAAAGTAATAAGCACTAAGGAGTAATAAAATCCAAGATGTGTAAATTTTGTTGTAAAAAAGAGAGGGAAAAAAAAAGAAAAAGAAAAAGAGCTCTAACGGATATAACAGCAAGTGTGTTTGGGGGTGTTAAATAGCTGACTTTATCAATGTTTTTGGAACATTGAACACAGCTGTTTGCAGTCTCCCTGTTTGAATGTCCACCTTGTGTTCTTTGATACTGTGATTTGAGGAACTATTTTCAAGAAGATAGTGTGTAATCTACTAGCAGGTGATTTCTTACTGTTATGTTTTTTTGTTTTGTTTTGTTTTGTTTTGTTTTGTAGTTCTGTATTGCGTGTACCCTTACGCCGCTTTGGTTTGTTTTGTGTTTTTCTCTTTTTCCTCTTAAATTAAAAAAAAAAAAAATGCTACCTACTAAGAACCCTTCTCAGAAACTACTGAAGCAAAGGTTTAATATGCCAAGTTCCAGGTGCAATGGAAGGCCCTGAAACGATGGTACAAAGCTACTTCTCTACCCATTATTCTATAAATTGGCTGATAAACCACCATACCTCATGTGGCCCATGACTTTTGCCACACCTTTCTAAACAAAGCATTTACAGATGAGGACCTGCAAATTTTTTTCTGAGATTCCATGTACTCTGGGGAAAAGCCTGATCAAAGTGAAAGAAACTTTCACAAACAATGAATTTCACAATAATGAGATCTAAATAAACCTTGGGAGCAGATTTGTTAAATCAAAGAAAGAAGGTGAGCCCAGTGTGAAATGAAGACTGCGGCCCCTCCAGAGAAACAGAAGTGAACATTTCTGCTCCACTCAGGCCTGTGCGTTGCTGTCACTCACATCCAGTGAATCTCTGCCAACCTTCAGAAAATCCCCTCAGCCACACCCAGACTATGCTGGTCCCATTTAATTGGCTGTTTCTTACTAAAACTGTCACAATCAGGTAACTATCGCTGTGAATAATAACTTCTTTTACATAACAAAATAATGCTACCACTGTAGTTGCATCTCAGGGGTAGAACACATGCTTAAATTAACGCGCACGAGGCCTGGCTTCTGTCCCAGCACTGGGGTGGGGAGGTGGGGGAAGGAAAGATGAAAGACTAGCACTGATTTCTCCAAATACCCCATTGCTGGTGGGTAGACCTGGAAATAGAGCAAAAATGTTTAATAAAAGCTTCCACAACAAACCATATACGATGGGTTGAAAATGGGGTGCTATGGGTCAAATCAGCCACAGGGAGTCTTCTGGTGCCAAGGATGGTTCCAAAATATGTTTAACAATATAGATGGCTAGCTCAATGGGCACTGCATGCCTGCAATGCTAGCACTCAGAAGGCTGAGGCGAATGATAGATAGCTGGGACTCTGAGGCTGCATACTGAGCTTAAATGTAGCCTGAGCTACACAGTAGGACCCTCTATAAAAACAATGTAAGTAGAGAAACATAAAAATTTTAAAAATTAAAAATGTAAACGGCTAATATTGTTGTACAATTATGCCTTTACTTAAAAATGTGATAGTTTATTCACTGTGGATATTTTGCATTGACTTTGACTTTTCAAATATCGCATTAAGATATTCTTTATCTTTACTGCTGAGTTTTTAAGGGTCCCTTATATATGTACGCAAGCAAGGGTCTCATCACTTCTCCCCACTCCCTGTCTATCTTGGTTACTTTTTTCTACTTGGTGAGACAAAACACATGACACCCAAATTTTGGGAAGGGAAGCTTTATTTCTTATAATTTTGGAGGTTTTAGTCTATACTCAGCTGGCTCCAAGCAGCAGGATGGCCTGGCAGGGCCACTTCTTCACAGGAGCCACAAACAGCAAGCGATAACAGCACAAAAAACAGAGGAGGACACACCTTCCTCTCCTTCCCACTGTTACACTGTATGCTGGCTCCACCCCTGGGCAGGTGCAGCACTCACACCACCAACCCAAGTGCTAGACAACAAACCAATCACGAAGGCTAGATTTGGCTGCGTCCATGACTGCATGAAGCTTGGGGGGGGGCAGGGGGAGGATCTGAACATAAACCATAACACTGTCCTGGAAGACCTTCAGTAAAATCTGTTACATGGCAAACCTCAGTGTCAGTGACTGCTTTCAAATATGGTGCAGCATAGGGTAGGTCAAAGAAGTAGGCAAGATATGAAAATTCTCTAGAAATCCCATAAGAAATCTGAACAGTATGGGAGGTGAGGTAAACATGAAAGCAAAAAGAAAGATAAGCAGAGTAGGGGCTGCTGTAGAATGTGGGCAGGGGTCCCCAAGAGGACCCTTTGCATGGACCCACAGCTCACCTGTCCTTTAACTGCGGCTTCGCCAGGTAATGTGAGAAGCTTAAGATACCCTGGGCTGAAAAGAGACCCTTCTTCCTGAAAAGGGAGTCCAGTATTGGGATCATGAGGAATAAGGACTATCCATGAGAGCTGGATGAAGGACCCAGGATGAATCTCCCAATCTTTTACAGAAATGTTGAGTAGACCCAAAAGGAAAAATTTCTAAATAAAACCTTGCAAAGAATGCCCACCAAAACCCAGCAGACACGTCTGGGAAATCCTGATGACAGAATATGCCTTCCTCTGTGTCACCCATGCTTGTTTAGCGATGGCCTTGTGTGGTGTAACATGGTGTTTAAACTTCCTCAGCAACCCATGATGTCATCCAGCCTCCAGTGATGACACACTAAGCCTGCCTTTGTACCTCCTGCTTTCTCTCCCTGTGAAAGACCCAAAACCTTGCTGGCCAGGCAGGGCTGATTCTTTGGGAGAGATGCCAGTCAAGCCCAGTCGTGCAATGAACTGCCTCCTCAACTTCCTCTGTGCTGCTTCTTCCCATGCTCAGTCTGTCTTCTGCAACAGGGACAGCTCTAAAACAAGCAAGGGGACACAACATAGAGATGACAGTAGGTGGCAAGATGTTTAGAAGGACAGTCTTCACTGTATTCTTGCTTAAAAGACAAATGGGCAACAAATAAGAATGAGGCCTAGAGCCCATACCTGCTCTACCAATGCTGTCTGGAAAGATAAGGTGGGCTCTCGTCAGCCTCTGCTAGGTAGAGCCTCAGCTCCTGGTTCCGTCCCGATGCTCTAACAGGTCCAGGGTTTTATTTTTCCTGTGGCAGCAATCAAGTAGTGAATCCACTAGGGAAGTCACACTCCTAAACAACAGCTCAACTCATGGTCACCCACTTCGCCTAGGGGCTCAGCCATGCCCCGCATTCCCGTCACAATCCCAATCTCAGGCAAGTATGTAGAATATGCCCATGATCCCAGCCACCCAGGGGACTGAGAATTCAAGTCTCAAATTCAAGTCTAGCCTGGGCAACATAGTGAGACCTTGTCTCAAAATAGAGCACTTTACTATGTGTGAGACCCAGGGTTCAATACCCAACAGCACAAAGAAAGATGTCCCAATCCATTCATTTATATGCTCTCTTCTCCCCCCCCACTCTCTCCTCTCTTCCCTGTTGCCCACATTGGCCTTGAACTCTGACCCCGTGTCAGCCCCGCAAAACACCTGAACGTCTTCTTTTCACTGGCCCTCCTACCCGTCCGCTCCAGCTCTGGCCCAATTTCTACACCCTTCAAAGGCACCTTACATTCCAGGCTACATTCTGCTTCTCGATCTTCTTACCAAACTGCCTTCCGTGATATCACTGACAAATGCTGTGTCCCCACAAAATGCACACACACACACACACGCAGGCTCTTTGAAACAGCAATGGACTTTGAAAGACCATTAGCAGCACTTGCCAAGGGAGAACAAAACCAAATGATGTGTTTCAACACTATTTATAAACACCTGAAACTACCCTCCTCGAACTTTGCTGAAGTAAGGTTAACAAATAAAAATTGTATATTTAGGACACATACATGATGTTTTCACAAATGTGTACATTGTGAAATGATTGCCACAATTAAGTTAATAAACAGCCTCATCATCTCACCTTGTGGCCGTGTGTGTGGTGAGAACACGTGTGTCCGTGTGTGTGTGTGTGTGTGTGTGTGTGGTGAGAACACTTGCACTTTCCTATCGTAGCAAATTTCAAATATAACTACAGTCACCAAGCTGTCAATTAAGTCTCCAGCTCTTACTCATAACTGAAGCTTTGTATCCTTTGAGCAGTATTTCTCCTCTCCCAACCGCCAGCCCCTGGAAGCCACCTTTTTATTGTTACTGTGAGTTCCACTCTCTCTCCACATGATTTCATAGCGTACTGGGGTGGGCAAGGGAAAGTCACCAAACAGCAGAGAAACAGCTGGGGTATAGACTGGCTTTGGAAGCAGCTATGAAACAAGCTTTCTTTTCTAGAAGGCAGAGTGACTCATGAAAATGCGTGTGGAAAAGACCAGATCCTGCAGTTACCAGGGAGGGGAATTTGGGCCACTTTATTTGTATATTACAAACATGGTGACTTCCAACAACCAGAACAGGGAAATGTCAAAGGGCAGGCACCCAGCAGAGCCCGGAGCAGAGGCAGACAGGGAAGAGCACCCAGGCAGCGCTGTGAGGTACAAAGGGAAAGGCAGAAGCCTGCCCGCCCCACACATCCCTTCCAACTTCCCGCGTAGGCAGTTCTGAGGTCTGGCTCAGAAAGCAGACGCAGCCATTGTGAACCAAATGCTTCCCTCTTGATCCCAAAGATCTAGACAGTGACCTGCAGGAGAGTTCGAGCCTTAGGCGGCCTGATTTGAATAATTCCTGGACTAGCAGCAGAGCCAGAGACCCCAGGCATCCTCTGATTGTTTAGAAACTTCCTAGCCAGCCCTGGTGTAGTGACTGCCTGGCGTTCCTGCCATAAGACTCAGGAAGGACAAGACAGACCTTGGGAATAAAAACTAACCTGAAGGAGAAGGGGCTGCACCAGCTGGAAAGGACACAGCGGGGCGGCACCCATATCTGCTGGGTTCCTGAGCAATTCTATAAAGCACCCTAACATCCTGGCTGCTGTTCCAGCATTTCCGGCATCCACACGGAGCCTGGACAAAGTCCTGCCTCTCTCAGGGCATCTGGCGCCTGTATTTGGTGTGCTGGGGATCTTAATGGACGGCTGTTAGAGTTTCAGAAACTGCAGCGGGTAAGAGGGATGGGTGCGCAGGTTACCAAGGCTTAAGCTGTTACTTTTCCTAGGTAAATTGGGGAACCCCTGTTCATTTATTGAAGGACAGGTCTCACAGGCAGTGGAGAGCTGGAGTCTAGCAGCAGAGTGTGCCCGAAGACTGGCGCAGCCTTCCAGACTGGTCTTCCAAACTGGCCTTCTAGTAGCTTTCCCCATAGAGTCACAGCCCACTGTAAGATGGACTCATTTTCTCCAAGTGCTCCTAAAGACCTGGAGACCTGGTTCACACCCACCGGGAGGTCCCAGTCCTCAGGCGCCCCAGGGAGGTCCAGCTTGGTGGGGGTGGGGCACAGCCGGTCCTGCCCCCTCTCCCCGGCCGGGCTCCTTTATCTCCCTCTGGCAGCGAGGCTCCTGCTCCTCCCACCCTAGGTTCAGCCCCACAGCCTGCTTGCTCGGCGACTCTGCTGCACTCGCAGGTTCGGGCTAGCCCGGGGCGGGACGTGGGACGACCAGACACCAGAGGGCGGGGACGCAGACCGGTCTTTTAAAGGCCTGGAAGTGACCCAGAGGCGCCAGTGGCCCGGGGCGGTCCCAGGAGTCGTATGGGACTGGCTCCCCGGCTGGACCTGCCGAGGACATGGGCCGCTACCGCATCCGCGTGGCCACCGGGGCCTGGCTCTACTCGGGGTCGCGCAACCGCGTGAGGCTCTGGCTGGTCGGGGCGCGCGGGGAGGCAGCGCTGGAGCCGCAGCTGCGGCTGGCACGGGGTGAGGTCAGCGGGACTGGGGCCGACGGGCGAGGGGCAGGGAAAAGGGCATAAGAAGGCGACCGCGCCAGTGGGGGCCCGGGGGTGCGCACAAGGGGGACTCGGGGCAGGTGTGGTGGCCCCGACTGGGGCGGCCTCCTGCAACCCCTTCTCCAAATGGCCCTGGAGCCAGGGTGACGGCCCCTCCGGGGCAGCTGAGGGGGTGCCCGGTCTCCCACTCGAGTCCGCGGGGCAGCGCACCGCGCGCCCTCAGGCTCCCGCTGAACCTGAGCTCGAGAGCCAGCAGGGCAGGGCGAGGCCAGGCGAGGCGAGGCCACCCGAAGGGGCGGCTGTGTCCTCGGAACGGAACGGCTCTTGGGGGCTGAGCCTAGCCGGTCTGGCCCCCAGGAGGAGGAGTTCGACCTCCACGTTCCCGAAGACTTGGGGCCTCTGCAGTTCGTGAAGCTGTGCAAGCAGCACTGGCTGGTGGACGACGCGTGGTTCTGCGACTGCATCACGGTGCAGGGCCCGGAGGCCTGCGCGGAGGCTGCCTTCCCGTGCTACGGCTGGGTGCAGGGCGACGGCGTCCTCAGCCTGCCCGAGGGCACCGGTGAGTGGCAGCGGGGCGGGGGGCACGCGGGACGAGGCGGGGGAGGCATCCCAAAATGCAAGGCAGGAAGGAGAGGCTCTGAATTCCTCAAGTGTGACCCGGGACAAGGGCGGCCGCGAGTGGGGGCGGACACACAGCCTCCGGGCTCTAGAGTCTGTGATCTGAAGATTTCGCCTTCCTAGAAGGCGAGAGGAGTCAGATACGGATGAGGAAGGAAAACAGGGACAGAGGAACAGACAGATCTCTGTGTCACTGTTAGGGCAGGGGACAACTGTGAACACAAAGGTGGCTCGGGTAGGGCGAGGGGAAGACGACCGTGAAGGGCAGGGAGCTGCTGGCAGCAGTGGGGCACGGATAGGCGCGGCAATACAGAATTTTTACCTTGGAAAATAAGATGACTCCAGAGACAAGTGAGGGGCGAAGGGGAGAAGGACATCCACATGAAATAGGATCCTGGAGTGGAAGTCTGAACCGAGAAAGGCAGGAGGAAGTCAGTAAGTGCAAACCAAGACTGCACGCAGAGGGAGGTCAGGTAAGGAAAGCAGGCAGGAGCCGGGCGGGAGGTTACAGAGGGGAATCCGCCCAGAGCAACCCAGAGCGCCCCAGAGCGCGGGTGCCGGGAGACAGCACCGGCTCGCGGGCACGCGGCTGCAGCATCTTTGGGTGATTTTTTCTAACCTTAGATATGAATGAACTAGATCTGGTAGGAGAAGATGAGTTAAAGGGCTAGAAAGAGGTGCCAAGCATATGAGATTTTGTCTCCAGGCAAGAGGTTAGGGCTGAAATAAGTGAAATTCAGCACGTGTCACTGCAACACGGGTCTGGAGCTCAATCAAGTACCGCAAAGCCAGAGAGGAAAAAGCAGCAGAACAGGGCTGAGGACAGAGAGGAAGGCCTGGATAGACAGGGCCGGGCAGAGGAGCACGGTAACCCTTCCCCTGTCGCACCAGCCCGCCTGGCAGGAGACAGCGCCCTGGATGTCTTCCAGAAGCACCGCGAGAAGGAACTGAAGGAGAGGCGGCAGATCTACCGGTGAGCACCCCCCCAAGGCTCCCCAGCCGCCCGGTTCCCTCTCCCACCCTGTCTCATCCCCGCCCGTGGCGTCCTCCTTAAAGCTTTGTCCCCACCTTCCAGCTGGGCCACCTGGAAGGAAGGCTTACCCCTGACAATCGCTGCAGTCTGTAAGGAGGACCTACCTCCAAATATGAGATTCCACGAGGAGAAGAGACTGGACTTTGAGTGTACCCTGAAGGCCAGGTGAGCAGCAGCTAGAGCGCAGAGCGGCAGCAGGGCCGAGACATAAACAGGGAGGGCCGACGGGTCAGCTGATGGCCTCCTCTCACCACCTACCTGTCTTAGGGTTGTGGAGATGATCGTCAAACGCGTGTACACCCTCTTGAGCCCCTGGAACCGCCTAGAAGACTTCGATCAGATTTTCTGGGGCCAGAAGAGTACCCTGGCTGGTCAGTAGTCCCCCAGGGTCTCCATAATCCCTTGACAGCCCCTTTTGGTGACTTTCATGGGTCTCACAACTCCCTGCCAAGTGAAAACATATTCATAGATGCCTCAAGAACGAAAAGGAAGGAACTGAGTTTAGGCTGCTCTAAATTCCTGGGGTGCTGTCTAAAGAAGAGGGACACCCCCAGGCTATGGTAAACAGCCTCCCTCCTGTGCCCCATCTCCTCCCCACAGAGAAGGTTCACCAGTGCTGGCAGGAGGATGAGCTTTTTGGCTACCAGTTCCTCAATGGCGCCAACCCCATGCTGTTGAGACGCACCACCTCTCTCCCCACCAGGCTGGTGCTGCCCTCAGGGACGGAGGAGCTTCAGGCCCAGCTGGAGAAAGAACTCCAGGTACTTGCCCCTATGTTCTCTCAGCATCAACATGGGAATAAGATGGATCTCTTGGGCACAAAAGAGGGTCAGCAATGTTAGGAGGAACATCAACACCGCTGACTGACGCCAGTGTTCTGGACCCCGGTGCTCATGGGCAGGGAAAAGGGCATAAGAAGGCGAGTTCTAGGGTGGTTTTCTGGAGTAAGAGAACTGGATTTGGAAGAGATGGTTCTCCGCCGGAGCTATGTGTGTACACAGCGCATGCGTGCTGTTTCCAGTGACCGTGGTAGCTAGAGAAGCACTGTGAGATCTTCAGCAGAAGACAGGTTTGTATACAGAGGAAGGGAGAGATAAATTTCTAAGGTGGTGGAAGCCAAATCAGAGAGTCATCGGGGAATGACCGACGTAGGAGAAGGACAAGAAGTCAGACTAAATGTCCTCAAATGTCTTGCCCTTGCCCTGCCTCTCAAGTTTAAACACTAAAAGTGGACAATCTCCTGCTTCCTCCAGAACGGGTCCCTGTTCGAGGCTGACTTTATCCTGCTGGACGGAATTCCAGCCAATGTGATCCGAGGAGAGAAGCAGTACCTGGCTGCCCCCCTTGTCATGCTGAAGATGGAGCCCAGCGGGAAGCTGCTACCCATGGTCATCCAGGTAGGTGCCTTCAAGTCCGTCTTCTAGTCACTCAGTCTCCGCTCCCAGGGACCCGACTCCTGTCTTCTGGCTCCCAAACCCATCCTCACTGAGATGCATCTGCTGCTTGCAGCCTAGTTTCCCCGACTCACCCACATGGAGGCATTTGTTCAGGAGTCATAATGGCCTCTTGAAGTTAGCTGATGCCCAGCAGCTCTTAAAAATTAGTGTACTGCCAAATCATCTCGAGTGCTTATTAAAACACAGCTGCTGTGTCCTGTCACCACACTTTTTATTTGAAATGTCTGGGCTGGGAACTAAAGATGTGCATTTCTTGCAAGTTCAAAAGTAATGCCAGTGCTACTTGGTCAGCACCACACTTGAAGAATCCATTTAGAGAATCCATTTAACCTCAGTGTCTCTGACTCTAATGCCCACTACCTTTTGAATATCTGTTCTTGGCTGGGGATTTAGCTCAGTGGCATAAGCACCTGCCTGGCAAGCGCGAGGTTGTGAGTTTGATCCCCAGTACCAAAAAAAAAAAGTAATTGGCTCTCTGTCCTCTCAGTAGTCCTGGTTGATGAGAACCACCAGTGATCTTTAATATCCAGCCGCTGCTTCCTGTTCCACCACTGAGCTTCTGATTCCCATCGTGTTTCTCCCTAACCACTACTGAATCTGTCCACTGACCTCCCTGCTGCTGGTTTCTTTTGCCTCAATCTATCACGGCACCCAGCTAATGAGAGGCAGGGCGGAATGGTCTTCATTCCTCTTCCTTCGCTGTAACACCCTGAACGGCAAAAGTCATCTGTTTCTCCAGGATGCTGACCATGTCATACCTACGTAGCAGGAGTTCAATGAACACTCGATTTCTGTTTCTCCCAGATTCAGCCTCCCAACCCCAGCTCCCCACCCCCAACACTGTTCCTGCCCTCAGATCCTCCACTTGCCTGGCTCCTGGCCAAGTCCTGGGTCCGCAATGCGGATTTTCAGCTGCACCAGCTCCAGTATCATCTGCTGAACACGCACCTAGTGGCTGAGGTCATCGCTGTCGCCACCATGAGGTGCCTCCCAGGGCTGCACCCTGTCTACAAGGTATTTCTTCTCGTGTTCCTCACCCCACGGAAGCTGATGGCTCAGGTTCAAAGGACAGTGCAGTAGCAAAAGAAAAAAATAGCAATTTGTTAATGAAAAATGGAGCACAGAAAAAGACTATATCAATGACCCAAGACTCTTATTTTAATCAAGTTGAGTCATTTAACTTTGTTTCAGGACACCTTACAAGGGGCCTTCTGAGATTTCCAAAGACCTGAGAGTCTAGAAATGGGCTTGCATTATAGCTGGGATATTGTCAGTAAAACAAAAGCCTTATGACTAGGTTAAATTAGTATTTATCTAGGAAAACAAGTGTATCAAAACCAACCAGAAAACATTATCTGGAACTAGAGTTTGAAATCAGAAGGATGCCATTAAACAGTATGGTGCTAATGAAGACTGTACCACCTTAACCAAGAAACCAGTTAGGCAGAAACAGATTAAAAGGCAACGAGCAGCCCAGCAGGCCACTCAGACCTACCCAAGAGGAAGGTGGGTGAAGATGTGCTCAGCGGTGATAGCGACAGGGACACTGAGGGAAGAAACAGAAACAGCTACAGCACGCCTCAATGGAACAGGGCTGACACCAAAGTCCAAGCTTCCTTAACACCTGGAAGCCCACAGCGTAGGTGGGTTGTACTCATCTAGAAATACTATAATTTTGTGAAAAAGAGAGTTTGACATCAGTTTCTGGACAGAAGGCAGGAAGACATATGCTTGCTTAAAAAATGTTCTCAAAAATCTTACAGACACCTTCCATATGGGATATGTGGCAGAGAAGGGCACAAACATGATACAAGCTTATGAAACAATAACTGTCAGAAATGGTAGGCTTAAAAACATTTGTTTGGGAGCAAAAATGAGTTGACTGGGTTTAGCTCCAGGAAGGTGATGTAGTGGCAAAGTGCGCAAGCGAGAACTTGGTAAGGAGAGCAGCTGGACTGTCTCACGAGGCAGCCATCTGGACCCAAGCCTGGCACACACAGGAGAGCATCTGTGGCCACAACACTGCTACACAGAAAAGATGCAGGCCAGTGTGAGGCACAGGTCTTTGATTTTTTTGTCCTGGGACACCTCCTGCATCGCCATCCTCTGCCTACCTTGGACAGGGAAAGCCTTATGAAAACCACCTTGTCTCCACTCACCATAGCAACCTCATCCCAAGGCAAACAGCTGTCTGTCACTCCTGGGCGCTCAGGAAGACTGAGTGTGTAAATGGCACAAGGGTCACCCATGCAGACTTTTGATTTTGCTTGCTGGAGTCTCTGAATCCCGAGTGCCAGCCTCAGTACCAAACAGATGCCCACATCCACAGAATGTTTGTCAGAGGCTAGAATGGCCCAGAGCAATGGTGTGGCACATACTAAATGCTGACAAAACTGTGTCCTTACTATTTATTATTATTTGTTTGTTCTCAGGCATCTTTTCTTTTGATAGGGAATTTTGGCTTTTAGTAATATTCAGCAGCTTTCATGAACTTTCTGAAAAGTTGCAGACTAGTGTGAGTTTTGTTATTAGTATTAAAGGAATCACTACTTAGTTTAGTTCGATGTCCAGCATCATCTATTCAGGTAGATACCAAAACTGGATAAAACTCGCATATTAACTGGGTATTAAAGAAGACAAATAAGATAAAAAGAAACATGTGTAAAAAGACAAAGAAAAAAAAAGCCACAAGGATTAGGTGGCCTTTTTAATAGCCAAGAAAAGCGAAACAGAGGAAGACTGACTGGGGATGGGATGGAACTGACAAAGGCCCCTCGCTTGCATAAACAGGCAGCTCAGTAGAGCTCTCCACTTCTAACTGAAAGTGTCTGCCCAAACCACCTCCCCAAACACATCGAACTGACAACAGTGGAAGGGGGTGCAGCTTTGACAAGCTGGTTTAAGCTACGAAGATGCGAATGATAGAGAAAATGCAAAAGAAAATCAAAAGAGAACGATTCATAAAGGCACCTACATTCAACCCAATATCAGAACAGCAGCAGCTGCTGCTGGGGGACTTCTGTGTGACTAAACACTCTGCACACATCACCCACATAACCACAGCCATCACCGCAGCTCTGGCCGAGGACAGTCTACTACCGCCCTTTCTTGTAAACACAGAGATTGCAGGTTATTGGGTTATTCTGTTGGCTACTTATTAGAGTGGTAAAGTGGACCCATGTGACTCCAGCGCCCAGGTTATGAGGAAACAAGGACATGAGAATGAGTGCTCAGGGTCACAGGAGACGAGCCTGTCAAGGCAGCAGAGGGGGCAGAAGCATCGCCTGTAATCCCAGCCTTGGGGAGGCTGAGGCAGGCAGAGGGCTACGAAATGAGTTCAAGGCCAGCCTGAACTGCATAGTGAAACTCTGACTCTAAAAGACTAAACACAAGTCTACTAACTGCCTCCTCTCCTCACCCCAGCTCCTGGTCCCCCATATCCGCTACACTATGGAAATCAACACGCGGGCCCGGACCCAGCTCATCTCGGAGAGAGGAATATTTGACCAGGTAAGGACAGCATGGAGTACTGAACTATCTAATCGCCCACTTTTCTGTGATTTTTACCACCTTCAGAAGCCTGGGCCAACTCACAGGAGTGCCCTGACCTTTAACCTCAAGCTTGGCCCTTTATATACACGACTTTAAGTCTGAAAATGCACTGCTGGATCTCTTATACAGTAAGCTGGAATTATCCATTCCTCAAGACCTGTCAACTCTTGTCGCAGGCAGTAAACACAGGCGGAGGGGGCCACGTGCAGTTGCTCCGTCAGGCAATGGCTCAGCTAACCTACTGCTCCCTCTGTCCTCCTGATGACCTGGCTGAGCGAGGCCTGCTGGGAATCCCAGGTGCTCTCTACGCCCAGGATGCGTTACAGCTGTGGAAGATCATTGCCCGGTAGGTGAGAGCTGAGAAACGGGAGGGGTGGGAGGAGGGCAGAGCTCCGTTGTTCACCATGGCACAACAGCATTCTCCAGGGAGAGGTGAGGAAAAGGAAGGAGATCGTGGGTGGACCCTAAAACTGAGGAGCCCGGGGTAGGGGCAGAGTATGTCAGCGAGGAGCATCATGGGGTTGGGAAGACCAGGGATCTAGAAGAGCAAGGGTTTCATCAGGAACAGCAGACAGCAGCTATGTATAGGGAATCCCTAGAACCGAGATCTCCTTTACACTGTTGTGTCAAAAACCTACGGCGGTAGCTCAGTGGTAGAATGCTTGTCTAACGTGTGCAGAGCCTGGGTTTGATCCCCAGCACAGCAAACATACATGTGCACATACATATGGATATCGCTAAACAGAGAACCTGGGGACTGTCCCAAAAGACAAGTCCTAGAGGATCTGCTCCAAGCACAGTAAGAGGGAGGCACAGGAAGAGGTCAGAGGCTGGAATGTTCTGCTTTTGGAGAGCTCACTTCCCTCCTCTGGGCAGGTATGTGGAGGGGATTGTCCACCTCTTCTACCCGAGGGATGACGTCGTGAGGGGGGACCTTGAGCTGCAGGCATGGTGTCGGGAGATCACTGAGGTGGGGCTATGCAAAGCTCAGGACCGAGGTAAGGTCCACCCCACAATCAGGGATTCCTGGGAGGCTCTACAGGAGTCCCTCCCCCGGGACAGGACCCCAACCCCTCATTACAGCCTTCCCTCTGAACATGACAGTGGCCAATTCCCATTCACACCTTCCAAGACTCAGGACAATTCTAGATATCCGTGACTGCTTCTCAGAGACACAGAAATCGACTTCTATTCCTGTCCCCACCCCTCGTCACACCACCTGTATCCTGCCAGAATCATGTCCGGTGAAGAGTTCCGCCAGTTCCCACTGGGGCTGGTGTTCCACTTACATCTTACACTGCAGGCAGAAATGGGAAAAAGTTCTCCATCAAAACTCATGATTACCCACCCGGTTTATCCCTCCCTTCTCTTCTTGCCTACTACTGTCCACCATGTACAGAAGGACTGTGACAGAGTGCAAGGTCATTCCTTAATGCAACCTCAATACTACAACGCTGGGGCTCAAGCCTGACCTCATGTCTTCTCCTTGGGGGTCAGCGTTCGTTGGCCGATGCAGCTTTCCCTTCCTTCACAACCCTAACCCCAGGAAGAGCCTGGCCACAATCTCTAGTAAACCTCCATTGCCAGCATTTTAATCTCTGGAGAAGAAATAGCCTTTTCTGAGCTCTCCTTAGCCTCATCCTCCGTTCTCTAAACCAGACGGGCTGGCCTGGATGACTCTGAATCATCTTTCAGCGCTGCCCCTCGCACTTCACACCAATACCTCGAAGCTCATCCCCTGCCTCCATGGGGAATTTAGTAAGGGGCCGTGACAGCCAGGCGGGCCTGTGATGCAGCCGTGGCCTGTGCTCTGCAGGGAGCCTGTCCCTGAGGAACCTGTGGTGCACCCAACCAGACTCGCTCACATGCTCCGCCTCCGGTCCTGTAGGCACCACATGTCCCAAAATATCCCTCTTCCTCTCTCTGGCCACATTGTCCTTGAACAACATCCAGAAATTAAAAATAAATGTTCACATAGTCTCTGTCAGCTTGAGCTTCTGTAACAAAGCACAATAGACAGGGTGGCTTATACAAAAGAAATTTATTGCTCGCAGTTCTGGAGGCTGAAGTCCAAGATCAGCATGCCAGTATGTGTGGGCTCTGGGGAGGGCCCTCTGATGCAGAAAGCCAGACTCTTACATGTTCACATAGTCAAAAACAGCGAGGCAGCTCTGGGGCCTCTTCTCCTAAGAGCACTGACACCATCCACGAAGTCTGCCCTCGTGACTGAACCACTCCCAAAGATTCACCTTTGAGTACCGTCATGCTGGGCATGGGTTTCAAGATGAGTTCTGAGGGGGACACCCACATTCAATCCCTAATGCATGTGGTACCTTTAACTACACTAATTACCCTTCATTCTGTCCTCCCTCGATTCCCACAGCTCACTTCTGCCTGATTTTCCCAACAGATTTTTTAAAGGAAGCTCACTAAAATTAACAAGGGGAAGGAATTATCAGTTAGGAAACCAAGCTCAAGGTTGGCTCCTGCTTTTTCCCAACTGCAGCCCCACAAGCAGTTTAACTGCCCTGGTTTGATTTTCAATTGCATTATTATTATTGAACCTAAAGCTTCACACTGAGCTACACGCCCTTTTTATTTTTTCAGGCACGGTCTCATTAAATTGCCTAGATTCAAATTTATAAGCACCCTGCCTCCCACATGCTGGGATTACAGTTATGTGCCACCACATCCAGCTTGATTTTTTTTAATAAAATACATTTTTAAAAATTATCTATGTTCCACTTAGCTCATAGCATTATTGGGTTTCTGAGCCCCCGCAGCCACTATGAAATGACAGCTTGAGATAACACTTGTGGGAAGTCCCTCTTAACTGTGACACTGGAAATCCACACTTTTCTTATTCCTCATTTTATAGCTCAGAGGTTTGTAATTCCCTGTCTGGGAATAGGAGGAAACAACCCTAAATTCTTTCTTTTCTCTTTCTTTCTCTCCTTTTTTCGTTGAGACAAGGGACTCACAGCATCCTCGCACCTCAACCTCCCAAGTTCTGAGATTATAGCCATGTGCCACCATACCTGGCATCTAACTTCTTAACCATTTTTTGAGGTGGAGAAATCTGGCCACCCTTCCATAATAACAATAATTACTAGTTGTTGAGAATTTGATATTTTCTCCATAATTTTATAGGTGCAAATGTTGAAGTTCAGAGAGGTTAAGTAACTGGCCTAAGATAATCAAGCTGTAAGTGACTAAGCCAGGATTATAACCCATGTCTGGCGCAAACATAGCTAACTAAATTAACCAGCCTTTCCTTCTTTCCTCATCTGCAGTAGCCCTGAATCCTGTTCCTTTCCTGCCCAGGTTTCCCTGTCTCCTTCCAGTCCCAGGATGAACTCTGCCATTTCCTTACCATGTGTATCTTCACATGCACCGCCCAGCATGGGGCCATCAACCAGGGCCAGGTATGAAGAGCTGAAATCCCAGACCCCTAAAAGCAAATGCCTGGACCTTGGGAAACCCCAGGGAGAGACGGGGATCCAAACCCTAAGTCCTAGGGTCCTAGGGATGCAGTTTCTTCCCCTAGCTGGACTGGTATGCTTGGGTCCCTAATGCCCCATGCACAATGCGGATGCCCCCACCTACCACAAAAGAAGATGTGACAATGGCCATGGTGATGGGGTCTCTACCTGATGTCCAGCAGTCTTGTCTTCAAATGACCATCACATGGCATCTGGGTCGCCGTCAGCCAGACATGGTAAGCAGGGGCCCTATGGAGAGGGAAATGATAGTTGGAAAGGAAACATCAGCGTGAAAAGCTGGGCTCTAGGTGCTTTTCTCTTTAGACCAGAAACTGTCTGAACTTTTATTCTGTTTTAGGTGCCTCTGGGACATCACAAAGAAAACTACTTCTCAAGTCCCAAGGCAAAAGCTGTGCTAAGGCAGTTCCAAACAGATCTGAAAAACCTGGAAAATGAGATTACAGCCCGGAATGAGCACCTTGACCTGCCCTATGAATACCTAAAACCCAGCCACATAGAGAACAGTGTCACTATCTAAGCCCTAAATGCTCTGCCTGGGTTTCGGGTCAGCTTTAGGACTGACATTTCCATCTTGAATTTTATGCTTTCCTAAGTCTTTTTTCTATGGCTCTAATTCCTCGCCCAGCTAAACCCTCTACATCAGTATCCCACTGGCCCAGAGGACAGTGTACATCTTCTGTAAAGAACCAGATAATGTTTTCGGCTTTGTATGCCACACAGTCTTTGCCACAATTGCTCTCCCACTGAGGCAGCCACGATTTGTAAGCAAGTAAGTTGTGACAGTGTTCCAATAAAATTCTGTTTATGGCCAATAACAAGACTTTGCATGTCTGAAAACTTTATGCAACTAACAAATTTATGATTCTCTTCCTTTAGTGATTTTTCTTCTTGAACAAATCTATTCAGATACAGCACTAAGGGTCACTGAGTAAGAACAGTGTTCCTAGCCCACAGTAAAAAACCTTTGTCCCAAGCAGCTCCTTTCTCCAGACAGGCCCCAAGAAAAGAAATATGAAACTCATGTTTCAAGCCCATTTTCTCAGCCCATTTAATACTCAGTGATCCTTTCATATTATTACCCAGGATCTGTGTTTTCTTTGGCAACCTTTTTTAAAAGAACAATATGCACAAAACAAATGGAAAAACACCACAAAGTTATTCTATGCCATTGACACTATGTGTTTAGTTCTGGGGTCTCAGAATCAAAAAAGGATTTCTCAACTATGCTATGGTTCCTGCCTTCACCAGCATGCGTACACAAGCTCCGTGCACAACTGTGTTCTTCACCTGTGGTTTCAGACCGAGTACCAAACAAAACGAAACACAGAACCTTCAGACACCCCTGTTTTCCCACTACAAATCAATCTCACTAGTACAGTGCACAAACGTTTTGGGGGAGGTTAGGTGGGAGCGTGCAATGACCTATCCGTATTTTTTAATCTTGTATTTTATCTTGCTCAAAGGACCTACAGTTATTTCATTTAGTTAACAGGTTGCACTTACTCTTTTTTCCAGTGCATATGGCAGGACCACTCACAGTCACACTGGTCACTTATTACTTTTAACTTGCTCATTTAGTCTGCTTTCCTTGGGATTTTCCTAACTGCATATATTTCTGGATTCAGCATCCAGAACTAATACAATATTACAAGTACAATGATAAAAATTACACTATTCTAACAGAAGCATATTCAATGCCAAAAATCCTCCACAATTTTAACGCATGCTAGGCACAATAGTACGCTTGGCCCTCGGGGCGAGGGGGTCCGAAGCTCCTTTTACCTTGTCAGAATATCAGCCTCAACACTGACAGACGACTAGAGGCTATAGATGTGCCCACTCTCGCAGTGAAACTCCACGTTTCACCGTTACCCCAGCACAAGGACCACCTGCGACTAAAGTGCCCGAGAAAAAAAAATCACCGACGCTAAGTCTCTTATTTTAACAATCTTTTTACCCAAGAGTCTTTGCCAGAGTCGGACGTTTCTGGAGGCCTGGTTATGGCTAGCTCCTAGTCACATGACCAACCAGGTCATGTGCCATTCGGCGCCTTCCATTCCAATATGGAGGGGGAAAGAGACCAAGGAACGAATCCTCGGTCTTAGAGTAATCAGGCCCCAGATACATATCTGTAGGTCAGGAAGGGCTTCCAGGCGGGCGGCTTTAGTTTCAGATGTGTATTCTCTCGCCAAAACCCGTGGAGGACCGTAAGGCGCCCATCCTCTCTGCTGCCACCCCCAGGCCGAATGGTAGATTCCGAAGGCCACGCCCTTTCGGCTCACTGTTTGGCTCAAGTCCTCAAATGCGGCTCGCTGACCCCGGCTGCGTATCTTAGGCTCGGCATCGCTGCCGTTCTACTCGGCTCACACTCGGCTTGATTCCCCGACTCCCTTCTTCATGGCGTCGCTCCTGTGCTGTGGCCCCAAGGTGGCCGCGTGCGGCATCGTCCTTAGCGTCTGGGGAGTGATCATGTTGGTGAGGGGCCTGCTCACCGAGAACTGGAGAGGGGACCCGAGGAGCTCCGGGGTTGGAGGGCTGGAAGGCCGGGAAACTGCATGCCTTAGAAGGCAGCAGGCAGGATGGAGGGGCTGGGCGGCTAGCTGGACCCTGGAGAACAAGAGAGAAATAAGATTGAAAAATGGGGAATTGGAGTCGAAGGGTGGCGAGAATGAAGGGTGGAAGGGAACCAGAGCTGTCAAGTCTGTAGATTTTCCAAGTTAAAAATAAAAGCTATGGTCCTGAGAGATGCCCAAGTTGAAGGCTACGGGGAACAGGAGTGATTCCTCCTGAAATGAGTTACCGTGGCCTTCTTTGTTCAGAGTACATTCTGCCACTTCTGGAAATAATATGAACTACTGGTTCTCTCTAACCTCTTCCGTCCTGTCTCGTGATAATGATGCCCCTGAGTAGGATAGTTTGGGTTCCTGAAAAAGGCAGCTTGCTCATTATTCCCACCCTTGTACCAGCAGTTGTCGCAGTGTCCCCACTGCAAGCCCTAGTCCAGGTGGCCGAGGCCAGTCTGAATCCAGCTACAACCACTCCTACTCCTGGCTCGTTCTTGTTAATCCCAAGGCTCAGGTATTGGAGCAACATTAGAAATAGGAGGAGTTTAAGGAGGTTAGTATCTGTGTCCATACCTGCCTGTTCCTTTTCAGATAATGCTTGGAATATTTTTCAATGTGCACTCAGCTGTGTTGATTGAGGATGTTCCCTTCACGGAGAAAGATTTCACGTAAGTGGTCAGGTGGAAAAAGCGGGCAAGGTGCAGGCATGAGGTAGCTGGGCCTGTGGTGAGAATTATGGGTGGGAAATTGCCAGTGGCTAATGTTTGGGACCCTGAAGTTAGGGAACTGGGAGAGGTGTGCTGCTCTCTACAGAACCAGTTAGGGCTTTGGGTGTAGCCGAGTGGTAGCCAGTGTGTTTAACCTGTAAAGGCCCTGCCTGGATTCAAACTTCAATACAAAAAGAAAGAAAAAAGAAAGGAATGTATTTAGGAACAATCTTGGAAGTCAGGCTTTAGCAGCCATCCTATACCCACCAATTTAGATGTGGCCTCTTTAGGTATTTTACCTGTGACTTAGTCCACCTCTACCAAAGGGGTATTAAATAGAACTCATCTCATAGAGTTATGGAGAAGACTGAATGCTGGTAATATCTGTAACAGCTAATAAGCTTGATGATGTAAGCCTATAACCCCAGCACTCAGGGAGATTTGAGGAAGGGATCACAAGTTCGAGCTCAGCCTGGACAATTTAGCAATTCAAGACCTGTCTCAAAATAAAAAGCACTAGGCTGGGGACTTAGCTCAGTGGCCCAAATGCTCCCCTGGTAAGCACAAGGTCATGAGTTCAATCCCTGATACCAAAAAAAAAAAAAAGGAAAACTAAAAAGCGCTGCGATGAAGCTCAGTGTGAAGGGGCTGGATTTATACATAGCAAGTTGAGGGAAGCAGCGCTTAGAATGGTGACTGGCACATGGTTTGATGCCCTTCATATCTGAGTTCTCTACCCAATTCCCATCCCTAGGAATGGTCCTCAGAATATATACAAGCTTTACGAGCAAGTCAGCTACAACTGTTTCATCGCCGCCGGCCTTTACCTCCTCCTCGGAGGCTTCTCTTTCTGCCAAGTTCGACTCAATAAGCGCAAGGAATACATGGTGCGCTAAAGCATAGTCCTGTTTCTCGTCTTCAGCCGCCCTGTGTATTTAAAGATTCCCCCTCACTCGGGTCTCATCCTGCCCACTGTGGCACCCTCCGCGGGTCTGGGTTTCCCTTGGGAGAGACTGAATCCCCCATTCTCCAGCCTCAGGCATCTGGCCCCAATGCGGGGAGCTGGGGCTGCGGACCCCCCGTCTCTCCAGCCCCCTCGCTTACTCTCTGTTACAATAAAGACGAGCTGCTCTCATAAGCCTCCTGTGTCTATGTCTGAGTGAGACAGTGGGCCGGGACGAGGCGCGAAGCGGCCTCTACGCGGGGCGACCTGACCCTCGGCGGAAGTGAAGTGAAGCTGACCGGAAGTGAGGCGGTGTCTTCCACCTCGTTCCCCACGGCGCTGAGGCTTTATTTGCCCGCGGAAGGAGGGGCGGGAAGCGGCCAGGCTTGAGCCAATCAGCTGCCGGGGGCGGGACTTCCTGCGCGGGAGCCGGAGGGGCTCCACAGTCGCGCCCGCCGTGGTCTCGGCTCGCGTGGCGGCGGCGGCGGAGCGTCTCGGTGAGGAGGTGCGCGGGGACATGACGTCAGCGTCCACAAAGGTTCGACCTCCCTCGCGGACAGCGCTCCCTGGCGGTCACGGGCGGGCGGGCCCCCCGCTCGGCTCCTGGCTCTTCTGCGCCAGGCGGGGGAGGGCCGAGCCTGGGGTGGGGCTAGGGGCTCCGGGCGGGACGGTGGACCGGCTGTGCGCCGGCCCCCCGTAATCCTGCCCCGCCCCCAGGTCGGAGAGATCTTCTCCGCGGCCGGCGCCGCCTTCACGAAGCTCGGGGAGCTGACGATGCAGCTGCATCCCGTGTCTGATTCTTCCCCCGCGGGGTACGTGAGATGGGGCTGGGACGCTGACGCCGAGAACTGACGCTTGGATCTGTCACAGACGTGGACCTTCTTAGGGCAGGGGCAGACGTTAGTTTCTCACTGTAGCTGGCACAGTGCAGAGTAGGTGTTAGTAAGTGTTGAAATGAGTAAGTGAGTGACACGTGAAGATGCAAACGGTTCCCCAACCCGGACTTAGATTTCACAGTTGCACCCTACTGCGAGCCGACTGGCCTCCACCACCACCACCGCCGCCGCCCCAAATTTTGTTATCCCCTCAGACTACTGCAGACTGTGTTCAGAAATTCTGTTTGTAAGGCCTCTACTTGGTGAATTGGTTTTAGTGGCCTGTTGACAGCAGCTGTTACACATTGATGGGGCAGAGGGGTGCTGTAAGGGGATGGTGGATGCAATTTCGTGTGGTTAGGGACCCCCAAAGCTTTTTAAAAAGGAATGCCCGCTTTATGGTTTCTTGGAAGGGGGCCCAGAGATTGCGGGGAGGAGGCTGGTTGGCTGTGGAGTGCATAGCCTGTGGGCTAGCTCCACACCCGCCTCCTGTTTTTGCTATCCCCCCTCTCCCTTCCGACAGTGCGAAGTGGACGGAGACGGAGATAGAGATGCTGAGGGCTGCTGTGAAGCGATTTGGGGACGATCTTAATCACATCAGCTGTGTCATCAAGGAACGGACAGTGTGAGGGAGGGTAGCAGAGAAAGGGGGGTGGGCAGCTTTCTTCCTCCTTAATATTATTCCAAAGTCTTCCTCACAACTCCGAGCTCAGCACCTTTTCAACTTTTTGCTAGTTTTGGTAGCATTCCCATGAGGAGTAAAAGAATGTAAGCTCTGTCACCGTTGGTCAGTGCTAATCTAATCTAAACCGCTAATCAGGATCTTTAAGAATTTGATTTTAGGGTGCCTTGAGTTACTTAATTACTGTATTTGATAATGGGAGTTTCCTGGTTATTTATATAGCACTGGTGTGTCCAGGGATACTGATTTTCTGAACTACTTGACCAGGACTCATTAAAAATCTCAATGTAAGACTGGGGATGTGACTCAGTATTAAGAGTTGTTGCCTTGCATGCACAAGGCCCTCCTGGCTTTGATCGCCAGCACAACCCCCCACCCATCTCAATCCACCTGTAAATAATCTAGCCTTACCTGGTGGGCTTGCACACCTACGAGTCTCTCCCAGAAGAGGACTGGAGATGGGCCTTTCCAGTGACTCAGTTCAGGGGCACCACTCTTCACATCCCATCTGCCCTGAGTATTGAGAACACTACAACAGGTTGGGGCCCTGACCAGGATTCTCATGAAGGGGCTTCTAGAATTCCCACCCTCCCCTTTTTCCCTCGGCCTTTCTGACAATCTCTTCCCTAATTCGTTGTGTCCTCTTTTTAGGGCTCAGATAAAGACCACTGTGAAACGAAAGGTGTATGAAGATTCTGGCATTCCCCTTCCAGCTGAGTCACCCAAGAAGGGACCCAAGAAGTTGGCATCTGGTGTCCTGTCACCTCCTCCAGCTGGCCCTCCATCCAGCAACTCCAGTGTCACTGAGGCAGGGGGTCCCCCCATAAAGAAACAGAAGGCTGGTGAGGGCCGTGGAGTTGCACCTAGGGTAGAAGTTAAAGGTCCTCTCTGAGGTTCTGTGAGAGAATTGGGCCTGGGTCAAAAAAAAAAATCTCTGTTCTCCCTGTAGTTCCCAGATGCAGCGAGTAGAGCACAAAGTTTTGGAAAGCTGGGAGGGGCACAGTTAGGAGAACCTAGAACATAACCTGTACTCCCTCCCAGATGTGACCCTTAGTGCTCTGAATGACTCCGACGCCAACAGTGACCTGGTGGATATTGAAGGGCTAGGAGAAACTCCTCCAACCAAGAAACTCAACTTCGACCAGGGTAGGAGTCCTCCTCCTACCATACCCGCTGGGGCTGGGGAGAAGTGTTCACTTGACGCAGGGCAGGGTCTCAGCAGAAGCTCTGCTCTCGTGCAGGGGACTGGAGAAGGGAAGGTGCTCTCGCAGTACAGGAGATGGGGTCAGTTAAATACTGGAGACTTCGGGAAGGTGGGAGTTGCCTTGGAATCACCCTGGGAGCTCTCTCTATCTGGTCCGTTTTACCTCCTGTTCTAGACAGCCTGACGCAGGATTCTGGCCTCCTCACAACCTCCACTGGTGTTCCTCTGCTCTCCTGCTGAGCCTTCCACCCGACCCTCTCACTGTTCGCTCTGGACCTGTGGATTGCCCGGGAGTGGAGCAAGGCCCGCATGAGAGAGGGTCATAAGGCTGCAGGGGTGGCCACCTGGCTATTGCTGATAACTGTCTGCTCCTACCCCCTGACCTCTGTGTGATGGACATTTTTATATATAAAAATAAAGAATTCTGTCAGCATGGTATGGTTAAGCTCCTCTCTCCCTTCTTAGTCTGCAGCAGCTCAGCCCCTCCTGGGTGGCTCTCACCACCCTGCCTGGAGCAGCACAACCAATATTGGCAGACTTGCTTCCCAGTGCCAATATTTCTGTGCTGCTAAAGCCAGGGGAGCTGGGTGTGGGCAACAAACCTACTTTGCTGTCAGGAGCCAAAATTTACTCCAGGGTCGCAGGCAGTGAGGATCGAGGCTGCCCCGGGGGGCAGTTAAAGTGACAGTTTCCAGGGCTCTCATACTGTCTTCTTCCCCACCTCTCAGTTTATCCCCAGGGCCTGATGTGCTTTGTGTTGCTTCTCCAGGGCGGCCTCCCAGGGCCGGGCCTCCGCGGTGCCTCCCCCACCCTCGCTCTAACACCACAGTGTGGTTTGGACGTGGCCACAGTGCCGTACAAACCACAGTGTGCTGCTGGGGCGGGAGCAGGACTAGGGTGGGCTAAGAAGAGAGCCAAGTGAAGACCCCCCCCAACACCAGGGAGATAGACAAGGCAAACATGGTCCTCAAAAGGGTTGGCAAACCCAGAGCTTGGGACAGGAATTGAGCAGGCAGCTGGAAGGAAAGGGATGCGCTCACAGTGCAGCAAGGTTGGAACCACCTTCTCCTTTAGGAGCGCAGCTCAGGATCCCCAGTGTGGGGTCAGAGGCACAGGAAGCGGGGACTGACACCAAGCTGCCTCCTGACTCAGCAAGGGCAGGGACCCAGGGCTTCCTGTGTCCATTTCTCCCCTCTGGGTCGGAACCCAGGAGGACAGAGGACCAAGGACAACAGGGTTAGGAGTTGGCAATCCAGAGGTGGTAGGGCCGGAACATGGTCGGGAGAGGGGGGCCGGAAGTTGCCCTGGGCCCTGGGCCTGCCACAAGATGGAGGCCAAAGTCAGGAAATGGAGGCCGGGGGAGAGGTGGGCAGCAGGGCCTAGAAGAGGGCCAGCTGGACCTGGGGACCAGGTGTTCCACCTCCAGTGCTGCTGTCAATTCCCACTGCCCCCCAAAACCCATGCTGCACCCCCACAACACCACCCATTAGCCTATCCACCAGGCCCAGACAGGCGGGTCCACCCAGAGAGCCACGTTTAAGCTGAAACAAACATGTCTCTCCCCACCCCCAACCCTAGGCCTTCTCTTAGCCTTCTCCTCCTGTCCAGGACTTGATTTTTAAAAAGCACCCCCAGAAAACAAATCCCTTCTGCAACTCAAAATAATACCCTATAAAACCCAAATATTATCCTCCCATGTCCCATCTCACCTTTTACCACCCCCGTCCCGACACACCCCCCAAAACTCTTTAACAGTCAGAAAGATCTAAGATGGTGTATGTAAGCAGTCCTTTTAGGCCCCCGAAGATGCCAGGCGCCCTTTCTGAGACCCCCATCTTTCCCATATCAAGCTCTGCTAAGGCCTCCTGATCCTCTTTGCACCTTCCAGAGCCCCCCAAACAACAGCTGCCCCCAGCTCCCACCCCCGGCAGAGCCTTTGTGGGGGTAAAAGAAATCAAACACTGTCCTAACGGCTGGAGATGTTGAGGGTTCTCTGGTCTCAGGTTTTGGTTTCCATCTAGGGGACTGCAGTTTGAGGGTATAGGAGGAAGCCTCGTCAGTCAGCCCCCCAATTCCAAGACTGACAAAGCCCAACCCCACCCCAGCACGCACCTCCAAACCTTCCCCCCAACCGCCACGTCTCTCCTGAAAACAGGGGACACTTCCCTCCCCACTTACCTCAGCTACTTTCCCCTGAGATCCTGGTCCCCTATTTTGAAAGGAGCAAATTTTGGGGTGCATCCCTCACATTTGGGGTGCAGGAGAAAGGAGCCGCCCCAGTCGCATCGCTGGCCTCCTTCCTCTCGGCTGGCTCAAGGACTGGGGAGTGCCCTGAGGAAGGGGCACCCCCACGAGAGGGCTCTGGAGGGGGTTCCTCCACTCCCAGTCAGAATTGGGGACACCCCCCCCAAAACCCGTCCAGCCCATCCGTCTCCAACTCGGCGGGAGAGGCAGCTGCAATGCCCCAGTCAGATTCCCCCAACACTACATTCCTCACCCCATCTAGAGGGGTCCCGGGGTCCCCAAAAAATCCCCAAAAAATCTAGGATGTTGGGAAGACGGTCCTGGACTAGCTCCCCAAATTTGGGGTCCTTAGATACCCCCGTTTTTTCAGGAAAATTCTGTCTTTCGCCTGCCTCCCGCCAGCCCTGCTCTGTCCCGATGCCAATTTTGGAAGTCACTCCCTCCTTCCTCCTCCCCGTCCCTCTAGGCCCCCCCACCCCGCTCGGGGGGCTAGGGTCCAGGACACCTGGCTTCCAGGCCGGGGGGGTGAGGGGGAGGCACTCCTCAGAGGGCACGGGGCCAGGAGGTCAAGCTCATAGCCCCTGTCTTAGGGAGGCAGGAAAGCCCGATCTTCCCCTCCCCTCCCCCCTGGCTGGTCTCCGTGGTGGTTTGGGAAAGCCTGGAGGATTGGAATCTGCCATTGCTGTTGCACAGGCAGTTTTTTTGCTTGGGCTGGGGGGGGTGGGCGGTGGGAGGGAGAGAGGGGAGGAGAGCCGAAGAGAGCGAGGACCCAGGCGGGAAGAGCTGGCCTGGCTTACCCTCTAGCCCCTGCTGCCGTTGGGAACCCCTCCCCCTCGGCTCACCCACACTCTCGGTCCTCTGCTTTCTGTTTGGGGATCTTATCCTAGAAAATCAGGGTGCAGGAATCACCTCTTTCTACACCACCACCCTTCCTTGCCACAGTTCCAGCAGCACTGACTTGATCAGAGGTGTCTACTTTACCAAGAGGCACCCCATTTATCTCCACCTTCCCCCAAGCTGTGGCATTCTTCCTTAAGAAGTTGGGGTTCAGAGTCTGGAACGACATTTTTCCCTTAGATCCATCCAGCCCACATAATAATAAATACGTAACAGGACTTCATTCCCTTCTCACTCTCTCCCTTCAAATCTTAGGCTTTTGGGGGGGTTCATTAAAGAATGAAATTTCTATATTCTAGGGTGAGAGGGAGCTACAAGTAAAAGATATTCTAGACCAGATACATGCTCCAAATTAAGTGAACCTTCAGATCAGTCTCATCCCTCAGCTTCACAAGATGTACACCGTGAGTGGCAAAAGACCCCAAAATAAAGGCACCCCAAAACTAGGCTTCCTCCTTGGGGGCCCTCACCTGTTTCTCCCCTTGAAAGGGAACTTGGAAAAGGTTTCATGGCTATCCAGGCATACAGAGGAATAGTCTCCTCTCAAAATAAGTCTCCACAGGACTCAAATTTAAAAGTGTATCCCACCCCCACCAAAACTCCAACCACAGAAAGCCTTCAAACTTATTCCTGACTTCCTATTTGCTCCACCTCAATGCATTTTTTAAAAAATTCCGAATTTTATATCTCTAACAATCTAATGAGCCTTGAAATTGATATAGCACCCAAAAACAGACTGTACCCCAATATCAGCGTGAGTATTCTAACTCGACTGATAGTTCAAGGTGACAGAGAATAATACTGTCTCCAAATGGGTATCAGAATACCCAGAACTGGTGCAGCTTTGACATCAGCCCATGCCTCAAACTTACCTTAAGGTTAAATACAGCCCATATTGACTATAATAATCAAGTCAACCCAACACCTCAAAATAAACGGCACCCACAACCGACTGACTGACACTTTACGCTGATCCTAAAAGGAGTCCTATCTAATTCTCATCTCCAGACTGGGCAGGGACCACAATAACCCTCACATGCAAAGCACATTCTGAATCCTTACTCGTTCCCAATGGTTCTCAACCTTTCTCTTTGGCACCTAAGTTAAAATATACTGGAGTGTAAACAGGAGGGCTCCAGGCCCAGGTGTGCAGCTCCAAGCCCAACCCTCAGTCATTCCTGATCAACTGTATGTACTCGTTGGCCCAAAGCCAAAGAGCTCCCGCCTCCTAGCGATACCTAGCTCTGGCCCATTTTCTTTAGATGAATCTTGTTCTCAATCTCAAATCTCCCCCCAAAATATATGAGGGTGTCACCCATGCCTATCTCCAGATGAGAGGGCTAAAATTAATTTCCAGGCCTCTCCTCTCCTATTTTTCAGCTCTTTTATTTACCCCACGAAAATTTTGCATTAATAGCTCCTAAAAATTCAACTCTGAAAACACCTAGGTAATAATAGCTATTTTAATTAGAAAAGAAAATTCTGTGCCCTTAGGCCCAAGCCCTAGTACTTGTCGCACCCATTCCCCTCGCTCCCAAAGCCCGTGGATTTCCACGTCAGTGGGAATTCCAGCCACAAGCAAAGTTCCTAATTCTCTCTCTCTCCGCCTAGCATCCCGCTATGAGACAGAGGTGCAAAATAAACCCCTGCAGAAGGTTTCAGCCGCCCAGACCAAACCCATCCTGTGCAGCACCCCCAGCCGGGTGGAGACAACTGGACGAAGTGAGGCTAGTGCTCTTCCGCCCCCTCGTGGAAGGAGCCGGACATTGCCCAGCTTTGCCTACTTGCCGCGCTGGACCCCGGCGTCCCGCCAGCCTCAAAGCGTAGCCTACCGGCGGGTGCTCAAAACCCTAGGAATCTGGCAATGGGGGAGAGTGGACGAGCTTTGGGCGGGAGTCCGCCTCTCCGGATCCCTAAGAGGACTCAGAAGAGAGGCGGTAGAGAGAGGCCGGACTCCTAGGTCTCCTAAGCGCCTCTGGCCCCCACCCGGGGCTTTCCCCACCTCCTCGTGGGGAAGCAGCTGGTGGGGCCGTCCGGTCGCAGGACAATAGAAGGAAACTAACTAGAAATCATATCCGCCCTCTGCCTGCCCTGCCCGGCCAGAGGCCCCCCCCAAGGGCTTGCTGGTGGAGCCTGTCATTCACACCACACCTTCCTACTAAGACCCCACGGTAGCCCACTAGCGCCTCTGCAAACCTGGTGCCTCTTTGAGTTCGGCCGCAGCACATCGGAAAGGGGAGTTTCGCTGCAATCACTTTTCCCTCTACCAGACCGCTGGCACCCCTTCCAAAAGCCAGCACACCCATTTCGCGGCCCTAGGTCCGACGGCGACCCAGGGCCTCCCCACTTTCAACCTCACCCTCCCTAACCTCCTCCGCTACTCCAGTACCCTCATCCTCTGTTCCACTTTTGGGGACCCCAAGCCCCGTCCATAACGAGCACCCTGCGTTTCTGAGGTCTTGCCTTTGAGCCAGAGACCCCGCCCCGGGCTCGCCATCTGGAGAGCGAGGGAGGAAGGAAGGATACAGACCCAGGCGTTCACCCCACCTCCACCCCCGCCCCCGACATCCCGGCCGCATAAAGGAGCCCAGACCGAGACGGGAGCGAGACCCCGCCCCCACCAAGGAGAGAGGCCGCAGCCCCTGCAGGACGGGGGTAAGCACACAACACTCAGGGAACCAGACTTTGGGTTCCCCAAAAGGGTTGGGGTTTGTCTATGGTAGGGAGACTGAGTCCCAGAAATTGCGCTCAGCTAGGGTCTAGGATTACTAGACAGGACTGCAGAATCCCGCGGTTGGTGAAGGGAGCTTCGGCTCAGCGGAGTGTGACCCGCAGGTCGTCCGGGGTCCCCAGGCAAGGTGAATCCCGCAGACCCAAGCGTGCAGCCGAGCCGAGCCCGGGAAGGTGGGTGGTGGAGAGGAGCAGGAGCCGGAGGGCAGCGCGCGTCGGACCCCGCGCGCTCCAGGGCCGAACCCTCCCTACCCGGAGCGGCGCTGCGGATGGGGCGGGCCGCGCGCCGGCCTGAGGGCTAGTGTGTGGGCGCCGGGGTCTTTGGGGGGACGGGGCGGGGCAGAGAAGGGACTGTGTCCCCGGACGGCCGCACGCTGAGCCGGGCCCCTGCACCCTCAGGCCGGCGTCGCGATGGGCTCCACGGCGGCCCCCGACGGCGCCCTGGCGTACGTCCGCGAGTTCACGCGCCACTCCTCCGACGTGCTCGGCAACCTGAACGAGCTGCGCCTGCGCGGGATCCTCACTGACGTCACGCTGCTGGTTGGCGGGCAAGCCCTTCGCGCGCACAAGGCGGTTCTCATCGCCTGCAGGTTCGAGGGCTGGGCGTCTCGGGGAGCAAAGGGGAAAGAAGCAGGACCGCGAAGCCTTTGAGAGCGAATTCAAAGGCAAACCTTCAGGAACCTGACGAGCAGGGGTGATGGTGGGGGCGACACATGGCTTCTTTGGTCCCCCAGCCGCTAACGACTATTTGCTCTCTCTCCAGTGGTTTCTTCTATTCGGTTTTCCGGGGCCGAGCAGGAGTAGGCGTGGACGTGCTCTCCCTGCCCGGAGGGCCCGAAGCCAGAGGCTTTGCTCCACTTCTGGATTTCATGTACACTTCGCGCCTGCGCCTCTCTCCCGCCACTGCGCCAGCCATCCTTGCGGCTGCCACCTACTTGCAGATGGAACATGTGGTTCAGGCATGCCACCGCTTCATCCAGGCCAGGTGAGAGAGCTGGGCTCAGTGTTCTTGATGGGTGAGGTGGTACTCCAAGCGTCCACTCCAAAGGCAGTCCTTAGCGACCTGTACTAATGTCCGTCACCCTTCCCAGCTATGAGCATCTAGGCATCTCCTTGCGATCCCTGGAGGCAGAACCCCCCACGCCGCCAACGGCCCCTCCACCAGATAGTCCTAGGCGCTCAGAAGGACACCCAGACCCACCTACTGAATCCCGAAGCTGCAATCAAGGTCTCCTAAGTCCGGCCAGTCCAGACCCAAAGGCTTGCAACTGGAAAAAATATAAGTTCATCGTGCTAAACTCTCAGGCCTCCCAAGCCGGGAATCTAATGGGGGAGAGGAATTCTGGTCAACCTTGTCCTCAAGCCAGGCCTCCCAGTGGAGACGAGGCTTCCAGCAACAGCAGCAGCAGCGAAGAAGGACCCATTCCCGGTCCCCAAAGCAGGTACAGAATCTAGAACCCCCAGAGTTTGTAGATGCTGGCCTCAGCTGGCCCAGAGCCACTGGGTCTGGGTGGTCAGGAGATGGAGATGGTAGATGGGTTGCCAAGACACGAGCCCAACTTAGAGAGCTGACCCGAGGCCAAGCTGAATCAGTGGATGGGACTTTGACTCATCAGTCAATACTACTTCACATTCAGCAGATAGACCTTTGGTGACCCGGCCCGCGGGTCAGTCCGCATCCCCGGGGCAGTTTCCTGGAGAAGGAACGGGATTAACACAGACAGGGCCAGAGACAGAGAGACAGAGACAAGTTGAGAAAATCTGATCAAGCCTCATTTATTGATAAAGTGGTCGATGCTTTTATAGGGCAGGGGCAGGCCGGTGGGACAGGAAGAGGCTATGGGGTGATCTCTGATGGGTCATCATCATGTGCGTGTACATGACGTAAGTAGGAGAGGGTTATGGTTAATGTAGGCGCATTATGTGCCCATATGAGGGAGAGGTGGGGAGACAGCAGCGGGGCGGTTGCACTGCTTCCTACATCTCCCTTTCTATATATATATATATATTTTAATCAGGAGTTTAGCAGGCCCTGTGAGGATAGCGCCTGTCTTTGGTCAAGGACCTCATTACATGGACCCAACCGGGCCTTACCCGTCATGGGCTTACAGAACAGCAGTTGGTCCTGTGCCTGTCTTAGGTGGCCGGTGTTGTAGCATGTATGTCCTAGTTGCCCGTCTCTGGCTGCCTGTCCATTATCTCAGGGCGGTTAGGCCACATCTTCATATGGGCCACTCGTGGGAATGCTTTCCCTGTAGGTTTGTTAATTTGCCATTTCCAGCTGGTGATAGTGTACCTGAATGGGCTTTGTCATAAACGCGTCTATCCGGTTATTAATGAGCGCCATAATCCTCTGAAAAATACAAAGACCCACAGAGAGGAGAAGCAACGAGGCAGCTAGGGGCCCCAGGAGGGGTGCTAGGTAGGGGAAGAGCCCTCCCCAGAGCGTGGGGAAGGGGTTAGAGGACATTTGTGACGGGAGGTCCAAATCCACCATTGGTCAAGGGTGGTCCAAGGAGGTTCTCGAGAAGGCACCACGTAATCCATCGGTTTGGCATTTTCTGTAAGGAAGCACAAGAAGTTGCCTCAGGGTATGTGTTTACTCCTGGGCCTTTTGGGGGTTATTATTATTTGGCTCATTAATTTGCCTAACGAGGCGTTCGGGGAGCCATCTAGCCTCTTTGTCTTGGTGGGAGTATACACACACTGAACCGCATCCCCATATGAGAACGGATCAGGGCCATGCCATGAGTTAGTCAGGGGGTCTTTCCAAAGTACAGAAGCAAATTGCTTTTGTGTTTCAGTATGCCAAAAACGCATGGCTGCTGACTGTCCAGAAGCATTCAAATTTTAAAAATTAAGGATGAATAAGGCATGAGATAGAATATTTCTGGGGGATCCTTGTATAGGATATCATGATCCCCCTTTGACTTTATCAACAGTGAGTTTGAGAGAACGATGTGCACGTTCAACAATGCCTTGGCCTTGTGGATTCTAAGGTATTCCTGTTGTATGGAGGATGTTGAGGCACTTGCAGAAGTGGGCAAAGGAAGTGCTAGTATATCCAGGACCATTGTCAGTCTTAAGTTGTTGAGGGTTTCCCAGTACTGATAAAGCTGACAGCATGTGAGCAATGATACGTTTAGTAGCCTCTCCGGTTTGGAGGGTGGAGAAGATAAAGCCACTGTATGTATCACCACTCACATGGACATATTTTAGGTTGCCAAACTCTGGGATATGAGTGACATCCATTTGCCACAGGACATTGGGAACAGGCCCCTTGGATTAACCGCTAAGTGTTGCACGGGTAGGTGGATAGCACAGGATGGGCAGTCTTTTACAATCTGTCTGGCTTGTTCTCTAGTGATCTTAATATAGAATTACAGAAAAATAAATGGTAAGAAATCATCAGTTGATAAGTTATATATTGTCATCTTAGAAATAGTTGTTCAGGTTACAAAATTAAAATACGTAAAGTGACATTTAAATAGTGACAGTGCCAGCAGTTTTGTTCAATGATCTAACAAAAACTTAGTAATATGTCTATCAGTCTTACACACTTGTTTTTCATCTCAAAGAGGGCAAGACCAAATATATCAAAACAGAACAAAACAGTTTTAAAAAAAAGAGATTTAAAGAAGTACAGATTTCAAAGCAAGTCCATTGGAGATCTTCACTGTCTATATAATTGTCTCTAGTTTCCTCCAAACAGTTGTCCCCATCTTTATGCACATTAAATACACACTGCATATTATAGAACTAATCAAACCACCACAGGATGATGAAGGGTCCCCAGGTTTTCAAGATCTGACATTGGGGAGGACAATAATAATCAACGTGGTATCTCTCATTTTTCTCTCAGCAGCTGTCCCCATCCTTATATATGTTAAAATTAAACTCAAGAGACCAGACCAATGTCACTCTGATCAGTTAAATGAGTCAAAGTAATTGACATTGGAATCTCTATCTCTGGAGTCTTTTTTGTAAAATGACCAGTCTCTCCACAGGCAAAACAGTTTTGTTTATGCTTTTGAGATAAGAACTGTTTAACTGTAAACCCTTGCAAGGCAGCAGCCATAGCAAGGCCCGCTGACAAGCAGTTCCAATGTCACAGCAAAGGTGTATATATCCTGTTGGGTCTGTTTTATTTTTATGAGGTCTGTTAGCAGCCTGGCAGGCGGTGTTGGCGTTTTTTAAAAGCTAGCTGTTCAATAAAATCAGTGCCTGCATCAGCGTGGCCAAAGATTCTGTTACTGCAGTAATCAAACCATCTACAAATTCTGAAAAGGGTTTTTCTGGGCCTTGCTTAATGCTAGTGAGAAAGGAGCTCATATTATCTTTTGCAGGCAGCTTTCTCCATGCTCGAGTAGCTGCTGTTTGAATTTGAGCGAAAAGTGTTGGATTAAACTCCTTTTGAGCCTTTCTGCATGCATAGGCATCTTTCACTATTAACGTATTAAGATCCCACCCATTGCTGGCTTGTGTATTGTGCCTGGCGATCTCCTTCCAATTTTTTGTATATTTTGATTTTCACAAAAGATTATCCCCACCCGATAAAGTCACTCGGCCAATCTTTGCCAATCTGTAGGTGTGAGCCAGCCGTCAGCCAGAGAATTTAAAACAGCAAGAGTATACTCAGCTGTGTCTTTTTACTGTGTAACCACGGTTTTTAATTCTCTATTCAGTTTGAAATTGAAACCAGAGTAGTCATGAATAACTCTGTCCTCTGTGTCCCTCATTTTCGTCACAGGGAAAGCCTTCATATCATCTAGCTTTAATATTGGATCAGGCCAGAGAGGTAAATTTAGAAATCATTTCTCTCAGCGGATGGTCGCTGAGCGAGAGAAATCTCGGAGGAAACTCTGGGGTTAGTTTCACTTTTTATTTTGAATTTTGCTAATTTTAGCCTTTCTAATTGAGCTATCAAATCTTGATTTTTTTTTTTCGTTAAGTTTAATCTGCTGTTTTAAAAGTTTAATTTGGGGGCTGGAGATTTAGCTCAGTGGCCTAAGTGCCCGTCTTGCAAGCAGGCAGTCGTGAGTTCGATCCCCAAAAGACAAAAAAAAAAAGTTTAATTTGGTTTCTTAATTCCTTCCTAGTATCAAAAGTTAAACATGCTGCAGCCGGAGCTACATAGCCCTCCCAGTTTGGGGGTGCTGCTAACCCCTGCGCTAAGGGCTTTATCTGCGCCAGCCACCTGGTATGCGGGGAGGCTGCAGTGTTAAGCCTGAGGGGGTTGGGCGCTAGCAGAAGCACGCAGGGCGGCATCACCTTGGGTGATTGTTTTATCAATTTGAGGGTCAGGGCAGCCCTGTGTAAGTAGCTCCGAGATTAGGTTCCAGTAGGCAAAGGCCGCAACTGGGACCTTTCAGGGCCAAAGACCCGATAGTAATCTTTTAATGCATCTCCTACTCTTTCCCATCTTTTTGCATCAGTAGAGCCCTCCAAAGGAAACCAGGGGCAAACCTTATGAATAAATTGAAAGTACTACAATAAATCTTTTTCTTTAGCCTTTATCTCTTTTGTCTTTAAAGCTTTACTTAAACTTGATACAAAGTGTTTATGATCACTTAATGCCTGACCCATGCCGGAGAAAAGGGGAAAGGATCACCATCCACTTACCATGACTGTAGCAGCGCAAATCTCAGGACGACTTCCTCATTGAGCCCTTCGTGCAAGGAGCTTCATGACGGGCGCCACTTGACCCAGCCTGCGGGTCAATCTGGATCCTGGGGCCAGTTTCCTGGAGAAGGAACGGGGATTAACACAGACAGGGCAGGAGACCGAGAGACGGAGACAAGTCGAGAAAATCCGATCAAGCCTCATTTATTGATGAAGTGGTCGCTGCTTTTATAGGGCAGGGGCGGGCCGGTAGGACAGGAAGAGGCTATGGGGTGATCTCTGATGGGTCATCATCACGTCCGTGTACATGACATAAGTAGGAGAGGGTTATGGTTAATGTGGCGCATTATGTGCCCATATGAGGGAGAGGCGGGGAGACGGCGGTGGGGCGGTCGCACCGCTCCCTACACTTTGGCTTCCAGGTCTCCAATAGGGAACCCTTCCCCATATAATCTCTGCTAACCTTTTCTCTGTGCCTCGGCATCTGCTTAGACTTTCTCCAGTTGCTGCTAATGGACAGTTCAAGTGCAGAACTCCAGCTGGGAGCCACTATCTCCTCACACCCCAGGCTCAGGAGGCTGCTGGTTCATCCTCTGAGCGGGCTCACCCACCACCAGGTAAGAGTCCTTTTCTTTGGCCTTCCCTCCTGTGGCTGCGTCAGGCCAATTTGGATCAAATTGGATCTCAAGAAAGACCTTCTAATGATTACTAAACTTTACTGCAAATTACAATCTCTTGGAAAGCCTTCAAAACTCCCATTGTCTAGATCACACCCTATAGATCGGAATATCTCGAAGTGAAGATAGGGCATCAGTTTTTTGGTGTTTTATTTTGGCATCAGTATTTTTTAAAGCTTCCCTGGTGCTACTAATGAGTAGCAAAATTTTTGGTCTATCGCTATCCAAGGCTGAGTGGTCTGCTCAGGGCTTGGCAAGGGGCTCTCTGGCAGGCTGCCATCCTCAGTGGTGTAAAAGAGAAAAACTAACATTGGCCCGCTATCAAGGGCTTTTACCTACCACTACTGTTGAAAAAGTCAGCAGAATATTCTGGAATCAGATATAGAATCCCGTCTTGGCTATCCACCCGCCCATCCCACATGCATACATGCCACACACTGGGAATTGAACCCAGGCCACATCCCCAGCCCACTGTTTTCTACTTTATTTTGAGACAGACTCTCACTAAGTTGCTTAGGCTGGGCTTGAACTTTAAATCCTGCTGCCTCTGCAGAGGGACGCAGAATGCTGGGGCCACGGGGCTACTTGGTTTACTTGGTAACCAGGTGGCCATGGGCTTCAGAACACAGCACAGTGAACTGGGAAAAAGAAAACCTACTGCTGTGTGGTTTAAGGGTTCACCAGCACCAGACGCCCCCATAAATAACCATGGTTGTTGCTCACACCCCCTTCCTCTCCCTTCTCAGGAAGTGAGTTTTTCAGCTGCCAGAACTGTGAGGCTGTGGCTGGGTGCTCATCAGGGGTGGACCCCTGTGCTCCTGGGGAAGAGGACAAGCCTTATAAATGTCAGCTCTGTCGGTCGGCCTTTCGCTACAAGGGCAACCTGGCCAGTCACCGCACAGTGCACACAGGTAGGGGAAGAGAGGGCCTTGGCCTTGGCGTCCACCACTGTCTTATGGTGTCATCCTGACCCGATCTGTCATTCACCCTGCTTGCAGGGGAAAAGCCCTACCATTGCTCCATCTGTGGAGCCCGATTTAATCGGCCAGCCAACCTGAAAACGCACAGCCGCATCCATTCTGGAGAAAAACCCTACAAGTGTGAGACTTGCGGTTCCCGATTTGTACAGGTAGGGAGCCAGTTTGCAAGAGTTCACAGGCTGGAGGGCCGGCTAACAGGCTCCTGAGCCTCCAAGAGGTGTGGTCTGAAGGTTCCTCTCCTCCCAGGTGGCCCATCTGCGTGCACATGTGCTGATCCACACTGGCGAGAAGCCCTATCCTTGCCCCACCTGTGGAACCCGCTTCCGCCACTTACAGACCCTCAAGAGTCACGTTCGCATCCACACGGGAGAGAAGCCTTACCATGTGGGTACTCAGCGTGCCCAGGCTTAGGAATTCGTCCCATTTGCCAAGGGGTGGGGCTTTGAGAAGAGCAGGTTTGCTCCCTGCTGAGTCACAGCTGGAAGAGTCCCAGTGGGTCTGGGGCGCAGTGGGGGTGGGAAGGGATGGAGGTAGTTACACCTCAGACTGAATGCAGTTTTCCCCAGAGAGAGGCCTCGGGTGAGAAATCCTTTCCTAAATAAGGCAAGGCCAGTCAGTCTCTGACACCCCCGAGGATTTGGGAGGGTGTAAAGGTCAAAGACCCAATTTTCAGCAGACAGCTGGACAGTTCCCCTTACTCAAATGGTAATGCGGAGCTGTTGACTGGAAGGGACCTGACTCTGCTGTCCTCCTGCAGTGCGATCCCTGTGGCCTGCATTTCCGGCACAAGAGTCAGCTTCGACTGCATCTGCGCCAGAAACACGGAGCTGCTACCAACACCAAGGTCCACTACCATATCCTGGGCGGGCCCTAGCTGAGTGCTGGCCCTGGCCCCGCTTGCTCCCTGGAGGATGGGAAAGCTGAAGCTCTGGCCTGGCTTCCCTGTCAGCCTAGCTATGGGGCTGTGCTAGGCAACTCCGATGTTAGAAACTGCGGCCACCTTAATTTCTTGCTGGGGAGAGCAGGGGTGGCAGATCCTGGCTAGATCTGCCTCTGTTTTGCTGGTCAAAACCTCTTCCCCACAATCCAGATTGTCCAGCTAGAAGCTGGAGAAAGGGAGAAAATGGAGGCCTTGTTTGCTTAAGGAAACATCTCTACCTACAGCCCCCATCTCACCTGATTTACCTGTAAATATAATTTATTGAGGCCTTGGGTGGCCCCAAGGCCTTCACTCTGTTGCATTCCTACTTCCTTCTTCTACAAGTGCAATCAAAAGTGACCTGACACAGGGCAGGTGAGGTCACAGCTCTGCTGGCAGAGATCATTAGCACTTGGCTCTCTCCTTTGGCTTGAATGTTTTTATATTGGATTGTCAGAACTTTTATCTTTAGAATTGTTCTTTGTGCACTTGGTTGAAGTGGAGAAAGGGGTTCTCTGTGTTCTCCCCTCCAGCTCTAGGTCTGGAACCTATGTTTGTTCTTGGGCAAGCCCTGGGAACTTGTGGAATTAGGGCAGGAACCCTCTCTGGTATTCTCTAGCAGGCTAGAAGTGAATATAGAGGGTGGAGGCGAACCTGTTAGAACTTTGAACGACGTGGAAGCCCACTGTGGCATGCGTGCTGTGGGCTCCCCACCACCGACACAGGCTTTTCTTTGTTCTCCACGGACTATAGGAACCTTTATTGTGAGCCTGAACTGGGGTAGTGAATGGCTCCTCCAGGATGAGGGTATGGACAGGAGATTCTGAATTTCTTGTTTTGATTTGTTTTTTAAAAACACAGTCTTGTTCTGTAATCTAGGCTGGTCTTGCATGCATTATGTAGCCCAGACTGTCTTGGAACTCAAGATCCTCTTGCTTCAGCCTCCAGAAGTGGAGGCTGGTAGTTTTTCCCACAAGACAGTTCAGAGCTGAAACTGTCCCATGAGACTGGTCCCCTGGGTTAGGCTGCAGCATATGCACCTGTCACCTAAGTGTCTGAATCAAACCCTTATTTCTTGCACTGTGTCCTATTCATAGCACTGAGTTGAGTCCTCCATGGAGAGGTCTGAAATCCCTTATCAGAGATGATGTGGCTTCTCTGGTTACACCTAGTTTATAGGAATATTGTGGCCTGGGGAGAATTATGAAACTGTACTTTGACTAAAGAGTCATGGCCAATGGATTACTTGAGAGGCATCTGGGATGGAGTATTCCTTGGTGTTCTCTCCATCTGTGTACGCCCCCTCCTTGTTTTTGAACTTCTTCTGGCAAGTGTCCAGGTTCCAGAAACAACTTCCTTGCCTCTGAAAGCCACAGGTGCTTGGTAACTTTCTCACCCTAGAAAATCTGGGGCTATCACTGCCCCAGATTTCCTATCACTGCCTTTCTGTCTGGAACCAGTGGGTGCACTAGAACCTTCCACAAGGGGAAAAAGGGGGCTGAGTTCCATTTTGGGTTTGTTTTGAATTAGGATTTGGGTTATTGTTGGGATTACAGATTTAAGAGGCTTAAAAAACTGGTTCGTGGGCCAAAGACCTCTTCTGGTTGACCAAGGGGCCAGGTAGGATTAAGAGGTTGGTTGAGGGCTGCAGTTCCTGGTATAGATCAGGTAGGCTGGAGGTTAAGAATGGTGTTGCCTCTTGGCTAAAATGCAGTGTCTGGGATGTTAGACAGTACTCTGAAGATGTGAAGATAGGCCCTTGTCCTGGGGCCTATTAGATGGTAGGACATAGGTGGAGGGGAAGAAGGGCTTTTGAATTTGTGCAGTGGAATTCCTCAAGATAAGTCAGTACCGGTGGATGTCACTTGGGGACTGGCGAGAAAGCTACTCTGTTTTGCATTTTAATCCACATCACCCCATTGCAGAGGTGAAGAAAAAAGACGGGAAAGCAGAAGAGAAATGTAAGAAGGAATCATGATTTCTATTTAGCAGACTGGATAGGCAGGTGCAAAGTGCCCGGGGTTGGAGTGTTAGATCTTGGAAGATCAGATCCTTGGAATAAAGAAACCGCTCTGTGCTACCACTGTGTCCTGGATTCTTGCCTGGGGAGGTGGCATCTTAGAAAGTGGGTCTTAGAAAGAAGTTTCTTCCCTCCTGAATAACATCTTGGATTCCATGCTCATTTTACTATCCTATCCCACCAGACATCTTCAATATTTTCCCCTCCCAACCCTTGCCTTCCGGCTTATTGTGTAGGAACCAGTGACTTCATGAAGTTTCTCCGGAGCCACCTGTATCCTGCTGGTCTGAAGTCACTTCCTGCCTGAGATGTGGAGGCAGCAGGGAGAAATTAAGAAGCTACTCGTGGGTTGGGGGATGGATGCTTCTGTACTCGGGATCTTAATTTTTGGGACATTATACCATAACCACCAAAGAAAATGGATAGGACTTGGATCCCATAGAGACATCAGGGTCTGGTGGTAGAAAAGACTGCAAGTTAAGAGCCAGTGTGCCAGTCCAGCCTTCTCTCAGCAGGAGCATCTTGGAACCCGTTCAGCGTCCAGTGCATGCGCGTCTCCCACCCTTTGCCCTGGCCTATGTGTGTCCTGGGTGCACAGCTGCATTCTTGCTCGTGAGCAGAAATTCTAACGTAATCCTTTGAGGCCTTAAATTCCTCCTCTATGATAAAAATCATTTAACATGGCTTTTGCAGTTCCCTGGACTCTTACAGATTGTATTTCTTAATCTTTTAAAACCCATGACCTGATTAGGCTTAAAAAAAAAAAAAACAAAATTAAACTAGAAGGTATTCACTTCTCACTACAGCTGTTGAAAATAAGACCAGCTAATATTACTTGTCCCATGTTACTCGCTTAAACCACTGAAAAATTAGGCATTATTATCCCCAGTGTACAGATGGAGAAACCTATGGAGAGCTTCCCCACTTGACCAGGTTAACAAATGAAGAAGTCAAGATTGGAACTGTGATCTGATTCTAAACTCTTAACCACTGATACGTGCCCAGACCAATTTCTGCATCTACCCATGCTTCAGCTCCACTTATATCTAGGTAGAGCATTTTGGTAGGATTTTTCTTTCTCTCCTATGAAATTAGAAGCCTCAACATTTTTCTTTTAAGCCACACAGTCACCTCTTGTTTGCATCTTCCCAGCCCAGTCCGGATATGAACTCTAGCCGAAAATCAGCCTCCTAGGAGCTTGAGTTACAGTGAAGGAACAGGAAATCCAAACCATTAGTGCTATCGGGTTTGTTGTAGGGCTGGACAGTGCTCGTAAGTAGCCTGGGTGCTAGCTGGACTGCACCAGCGGCCATGGTCATAGTTTACCCTATCGTGAGGTCAGAAACTAGGTAGGAAATGACTGTCATTAGAAGGTAGAGAAAACTGTCCCGGCCGCACTGAGGAAGGGGTAGGTGGTGGCGGTGGTGGAGCCTTGTGCGGCTTACAGGCGCCTTTCCTTTCCCAGTTTATTTTTTATCTCAATGACCTGTAGATTTCCTGTTGGAACAGAAATGACAGGAATGAGTTTTTAATCATAGAAACGAAGGCATCCAACAACCCATTTTTTTTTCTGTTTCCCTGGGCGGCCTCTCAGGGATCCAGGAATCTAGCTTTTCCGAGGCTGATTTAGAAGGCAGGTACTTGGTTTAAAGATCTCCTAACTTTTCCCTTCCTCTCACCATGGCCTGGTTAATTCCTGGACCCCTCATTAAGCAAGTAAGTGCTTGCCTCCAAAATCAGTTGATCCACCATCTATGTCCTTGCCGCTGAAAAGTGGGCAAACGACCCACAAGAACAAAAAGGGGCCACTATACCTTCAGCATAGATCCGTGCACCGCGAGGGCCCTCCGCAGCCCGTCTCCTCAGGTCCCTGTTGCGCATGCGCCCCACCCCCTGGCTTTCCAGAATTGTACTTTAAATCCTGCCCAGCATTTCTGGTCCCGCCCCCTGCTCTGTGGTACGTGTTCTCATTGGCTAGCTACAGACAGGATGTCTGCGGGCTTGTCAGGTGCTGACATTCACAAAGATAAAGCAGATAACCCTCACTAACGCTGGCGGGCCGCCGGCAGGAGCGTGGCCCAGCCCACTAAGGCTCCCGGTTTCTCGGCAGAACACTGGGGTCTGCCTGGAGTCTCAGGTCTGGACTCGCAGCTGCAAGCCAGCGGGGCCACGCCTTCTCGCTGGTGGCCCTGGCTGGCCCCGGCCTGTCCCCAGTCTTGGGCGCCTGGGTCGGTCTCCTCCCCTCGCCTCGGGGAAGGCGCAGGCGTCTCGCGCTGCTTTACCAGCACCTTCCTCTTTTCCAGCCTTTTCCTGTGCGATCCCCAAGCCTCCCTGCAGGGTGCATGGGTGGGTGCGCTGAGGCGGGGCGTGCACAGCCCAGCTCCCACAGTGGGAGTTAGGGGCGGCAGTCCTGCGCCTGCCCGATGGCGGGCAGAGCCGAGCCGCCGGATGGCGGCTGGGGATGGATGGTGGTGCTCTCAGCGTTCTTCCAGTCGGCGCTGGTGTTCGGGGTGCTGCGCTCCTTCGGGGTCTTCTTCGTGGAGTTTGTCTCGGCGTTTGAGGAGCAGGCGGCGCGTGTTTCTTGGATTGCCTCCATAGGAATCGCTGTGCAGCAGTTTGGGAGTGAGTGCTGCCCCTGGGTCCAGTGCCTCGTGACTCTGGGAAGAGAGAGAGAGATGAGGGGGGAGGGACAGGCAAGGGCGAGGGGTTGGGACCGTGCTGGGGCAGGACACCCGAGACCTTGAAGGACCCCCTTCCACTTCTCCAGGTCCGATAGGTAGTGCGCTGAGCACGAAGTTTGGGCCGCGGCCTGTGGTGATGACTGGGGGCATCTTGGCTGCCCTGGGGCTGCTGCTGGCCTCCTTTGCTACCTCCTTGACTCACCTGTACCTGAGTATCGGGCTGCTCTCAGGTGAGATCCTGGGCAAGGGCAGAGGAGCCAATGCCCGCATCCTGGGCTCCTGGGTCTTCTTTTTCTTCCTGCTCCTTCCAAAAGGCTGTGAGAGAAGTGCAAGGAAAGTTTGGCTAGCACATGCACCTTGCGGGGAGGTCTTAAGAATGACTAAATTGATAAAGAAGGTGGGAACATTAGGAAAGCCAAAGAGTGATGAAGTGCCCAGTAGACAAGCCCTAGACTAGTGGAAGTGGAGTGCAAGAGAAAGAGGATAAAATTGTGCTAGGTGCTGTGATTGTGAAACAGATATCATTAACCTGTGTACAAAGAAAGCTTTTCAAAGATTGTACAACTTGACAAAGGAAGGTTACACACCAGAAATGGTAGAGCTGGGGTCTAACTCCAGAATGTTGTGCTAATTACTTTACAGACCCCTCTGGTCCTCTCCAGTCCCACTAAGTGCATTAACAGTATTTTGCAAGTGAGTAGACTGAGGCTGGGCAAGTAAGGTAATCATACAAGGCTCCCCAGCTGTAAAGTATCACACCAGGACTGTACCCCAGGTCTGTGGGACTGCAACGCAGAGGCTGCGTTCTGCTACCAGTAGCTGTGACTACTGGGTTCCCTGAGCTCCCCATAGTCTCCAACCCCCATTTCTTCCTCTTTGACAGGCTCTGGCTGGGCCTTGACCTTCACTCCGACCCTGGCATGCCTGTCCCGTTACTTCTCCCGCCGCCGAACCCTGGCCATGGGGTTGGCACTGACAGGAGTGGGCCTCTCCTCTTTTGCGTTTGCCCCCCTCTTCCAGTGGCTGCTCAACCACTTTGCCTGGCGGGGGGCCCTGCTGCTCGTGTCTGCCCTCTCCTGCCACCTTGTGGCCTGTGGTGCCCTCCTGCGCCCACTCTCCCTGGCTGAAGACACTGCGGTGGGTGGCCCTGGGGCCCAGCTAACCTCTCTCCTTCGTCACGGCCCCTTCCTCCGTTACACTGTTGCCCTCACCCTGATCAACACTGGCTACTTTATTCCCTATGTCCACCTGGTGGCCCATCTCCAGGATTTGGGCTGGGACCCATTGCCTGCTGCCTTCCTGCTCTCCGTGGCTGCTATTTCTGACCTTGTGGGGCGTGTGGCCTCTGGGTGGCTGGGAGATGCAGTCCCAGGACCTGTGACGCGGCTTCTGATGCTCTGGACCACCCTGACTGGAGTATCACTAGCCCTCTTCCCTGTGGCAAAGGCTCCCACAGCCTTGGTGGTTCTGGCCGTGGCCTATGGCTTCACATCAGGGGCCCTGACCCCAGTGGCCTTCTCCGTGCTACCTGAACTGGTAGGGACTGGAAGAATTTACTGTGGCCTGGGACTGGTGCAGATGATAGAGAGCGTCGGGGGACTGCTGGGAGCTCCTCTGTCTGGTAAGGGGAAAGGGGTTGCCAAGTGGGCCGGGGTTACCATTTTGCACAGTTGGAGACAAGAGCTATTTCCATTATAGTATATGTGAATGTTGCCCTCTGTGTAGTGCAGTATACAACCCACACGATCAACCACAACAGCCCTGAAGTGGGACAAAGAGCTTGAGGCTCAGAAAGTCTCATGGAGGGACAAAGAGGAGCTAAGTGGGAGGGTACATACAGCCTGGGTTTTCAGAGAACAGGTTTTAGACCTGACCTGACGTAGCATTCCAGTGTCTTCCTTTCCTGTGGCCCACTGGGCTCCTGTCCAGATTTCTGAACCATTTGGTTAAAGTTCTCCAGGTTCGAGATAACCCTTTAATATCTTCCCTTTAACTATTAACTGATGGCCACAGTTGCTGGAAAGAAACCCACAGGTATGCGTGATTTAATCTGGATCACCAAATCCATACTGGCATCTGGGGTTGGTGTGAAGGTCCTTTCTGAAGGCAGGAAGGTGGCTGAAATTAGCTTTTGGGGCTCCAGGGGAAATACAGTGCTCACATTCATTCACCTTCTACCTCAGGAGTTCTGTCTCCTCCAAGAGCAAAATAGGGGGTCTTCTCTACACCCAGAGTGGCTCTGAGCTGCCCGTACCGGTGAACAAATCACTTATGCACGTGCCTTCTTTCTCTCTCTTGGATTTAGGGTACCTCCGGGATGTGACGGGGAACTACACAGCTTCTTTCGTGGTGGCTGGGGCGTTCCTGCTCATAGGAAGTGGAGTTCTCACTACCCTGCCCCACTTCTTCTCCTGCTTCTCAGCTCCTGCTTCCAGGCCCCAGGAGCATGAAACAGAGGCGCTGGATACCAAAGTCTCCCTACCCAAGGAGGAGGGCTTGGGAGAGGACTAATCTCCATTGAGAGGCAGCCAGGGCCAAAGCCAAGCCTGACAGCTTCAGGTCTTCTCCTGACCCATCCAGGCATCCACAGAAATGCAGTGCCTTAAGATTCTTCTTCTGCCTCCCTCAGAGCAGGCCTGGGGCTCCTGTGATATGTGCCAACTCTGTATTTTGTTGAGGATTCTTATTTTTTTTTTCTTCCTTTGTTGTCCCAACCTTTTCTGAAGGATCCTAGAGGTCCTGCTGCACTGAGGTGTGAATCAACCATGAGAATCAGAGACTTGGTTTTACATGTGATCCCTAGTGTTGCTCTAAAGTTTTCTCCCTGAAGATGGATGTCTGGGAAACAAGGGTGTTCTTTTGGGATAAAACCAAATGAGGAAACTAGACAATAATCATAACCTCACAAAGATCTGGGGCCCATATGGAGCCATGATGGGTGGATAGATGAGGTGTTCAGGGACTCTGGCAACCCCGATTTCTTTTCTCCAATCCATGCACCTCTCTCTTCCCCACTATTCCTGTGACTTAGCAAAGAAATCACGAGATCCGCAAGGTGGCAGGGTATGTGTGTGGGGATGGGGTGGGACATAAAAGAGCTGAAGTTTGATCGTAGGGTTTTTATATATCCCTCAGGCCAATAGAGGGACATTAAAATGCAGGGAAGTTAGTCTGTGGGGTCTGGAAACTCAAGGGAAAGGAAGATGGGACAGATGGCACCCGTGAGCATCTCTCTCCTGACCCCCAACAAACTGACTGACAGGCCACTCCTCAAAGACTCCTGTTACGGCAAAGACATGGCCAAACAGATTGGCTGGACAGAGGCGTTCTTCCCTACCTTTAGGGCTCCTGGGTCCTGATCCTGTCAGCCTTTTGGGATACCTTAAATAGAATGTTTTAAAGATTAACAGCTGGAGCTTTCGGGAGCTTCAGATAAAAATGCTTTATTTGGAGAGGGGCTCAAATGAGACCACGGTCAACAAGCAGCGTCCACAGTGGAGTGAGGGCCTCCTGGGGGGAGCAGAACAACCTTGGGGACAGGGAGCAACTCCCCCATCTCGGGCGGAGGGGGAGGTAGAGGTGAGGCTGGCCGGCAGGAGGGAAGCGCCTTGGGGAGCCCCATGTAGATGAAGCTGCCAGACAGGACGAAAGCGCTGCACATCAGGAAAGAGGCTGTGAAGTCTCCCGTCTCATCCCTCAGGAAGCCTGAGCAAGAGGTAACCAAATTAGTGTCCTCGAAACCCAGGGACAGAAGATGATTGTGAACGGATCTGCTGGCGCGGGCCCTTACCTGACAGGGGAGGGCCCAGGAGTCCCCCCAGGCTCATCAGCATCATCACCAGCCCTGTGGCCTGCACCACACCTCCGATGCCCACCAGCCCGGGCAGCACACCGAACACCAGCGGGGCGTAACTCCCTGCACTTAGCCCGTAGGCCCCTGCTGCGACCAGCAGGGGGGCTCCCCAACTGTCGGGGCTCCCCACCGCGGGCACTAGTCCCACTGCCAGCAGCCCCAGCCCTGTCAGAGCCCCGAACACAGCCAGCAGCCGTGGTAGGGGCACCCAGCCCTGGTCTGCCAGCCACCCGCAGACCAGCCGGGCGCCCGAATCCCCGACGGCAGCCACGGCCACCACCAGCGCTGCCCCATATCCTCCCAGGCCCCGATCTAAAGCGTGGGGCGCCAAGTGCACGTAGGGGATGAAGTAGCCGCCCCCGATCAGGGCCGTGCCCAGAGCGAAGATGGAAAAGGCCCGGCGCCTGAAAAGCCCCAGGCCAAGAGCAGCCAGAGGGCCACGAGGCGGGGCCGGGGGGTCGCCGGGGAGGGCCAGGGGCCGCAGCAAGGCGCCGCAGGGGGTGAGGTGAAAGGTGACGGCGCCCAGCAGCAGCAGGGCGCCCCGCCAGCCGAAAGTGTCGAGGAGCAGCTGCAAGGCGGGCGCCAGGAGCAGCGAGGAGGCCCCGTTGCCGGTGAGTGCCAGCCCCACCGCCAAAACCCGACGGCGGGAGAAGTAACGGGAGAGGGTGCCGAGGGCAGGGGCGAAGGCCAGGGCCCAGCCGGAGCCTGCGAACGGAGAGGGCGCGATGGGCGCAGGGGCGGGGATGCCCGGCCGCTTCCCACGCGGGACCCCGCCTCCTCCGTGCGCCCGCCCCCAGCAAGACCCTCCCTCCCCATCCCCGAAGGGCCGGGCACCCACTGCTCTCACCGGCGAGAAGGCCCAGGCCGAGGTACAGGTGCAGCAGGCTTCGGGCGAAAGCCGAGAGGACAAAGCCCAGGGAAGTTAGGACGCCCCCAGCCATCACCACCGGGCGCGCGCCCCAGCGCGTGCTCAGGGCGCTGCCCACCGGGCCTGGAAGGGGGCGGAGTCACCCAAGACCGCTTCCGGACCCCAAACTCCCCAACACTTCTCATTGGCTGCTGCCTGGCCTGAAGCTCCTCCCCTGGCCCAATAGCTCCTCCCCTTGACCTCAAGACCCACTCTTTTCTGGAACTTGTTTCCATCTTCCAGTGGGTGTCCTGTCCCCCCCACTCGCGGCCCACCCACCGTGTTCCGCCCCCCACCTTGGGGTCCCCCTCACTGGCTGCCTGCTGCATGGCCAAGGCCAGGGCGCTGACCCACGCAGTGTCCTGGGCGCTGCGGTCAAAGTGTTCCGCGAGGTCCGGGAGGGCCAGGCCCAGGGAGCGCAGGACCCCGTAGGAGAGCCCGTTCACCGCGAAGGCCGCGGCCGCCACCACCCAGCCCCAGCCCCCGTCCGGGACTCCGGCTGTCTTGGGGGTCATCACCGCCTGCGGGGGTGGACAGACACCTGTGCGTGAAGGCTCCGCCCTGAGCCTCCGCTGGGGAGCTGGCATCCCTGCGCCCCAGCGTCCGGCTGCTCCCGGGGTGGGCGCGGTGGACGGGCGGGGACCAGGCCTAGGGATAGAACTCCTGGGTGTGCTCGAGGTACCGGGATGCGGGAAGAGCCGGGACCCCTGGCTGGGGGTCCCCCTCCCACACGCACCCCTTCCTCTTACCGGACCTCTTTGGGCGGTGGGGGGCGGGGCGGGGCTCCACCGCGTTTTCTCCCCGCTTTGGCGAGCGCAGCCCCAAAGGTCAGTGAGTGCAGAGATGGAGCCTAAGTTGAACCGGCTTCCCGGTAAACAGCTCAGCGCAGGCCTGCGCCACCTGGGACGGGTGCGGAGGGCGGGGGCGAGCGGAGCAGCCAATCCGCGGAGCCGCGGTGCGGCCAGACCCGAGTCCCAGGGGGATCGAATTATCCACAGGCAGCCTCGGCCCGAGCCCAGGTTGGGGAACAAATCCGGCCCTGCCCGGCTCACGCCCACGCACCTGCCGCCAGCTGCTCACCGAGGAGACACGTGGGTTGCGATGCTTACCGAGCCCACAGCGCGCTGCCCACAGTGTGCTGCCACGTGGGAATAGAGGTGGCCCCCGAACCGAGAGAACGAGCAGTTCTGTTCTGGGAGCTTGCTGGGGACCCGGACTCTGGGGGTGCCGGCCCCTGGCTCATCAGCGTGTCCTGAGGGACAGGGGGCAGCGGGCTCCTTGCTAGGACCCGAGATGTGCCTGGCACTCTCGTGCCATGGTAGCGTCTCGTCCTTACAGTAACCTAATGAGGAAGAAAACCATTCTCCCTTCACAAATGCAGTAAGGATTTGCCCCGAAGCACTCAACTAAAAATAAATAAACAAAAATAAATCAGAATGGCATTTGGATCCGTCCAGCTTTGGGATCGTGCTGGAGGACAGACCTGGGAGCGAGACAGAATCTGCCGCACTTGGTGGAAATGGCCTGGGAGGTGTGATGCGATCCGACCTGGAAATGACAGAAGCTGTAGGGCCAGGGTCTGGAAGTGAGGAGACCCTTGTCTCCTCAGAACCTCTAAAACTTAGGCTGGAATTGCAAAAGCAAAGTAAGAAACTGGCGAACTGAGCCCAGGCGTTGATTTCTTGAAAAAGATTATAGCAACTTTTTCTTTAGATGTTTAGTCAAAAGGCGTTTGTCCTTTGGTTTCATTGAGGCAGTAACCAATAAAAACCCAACATCAGGTGCAGCCACATGATGGCAGTGTTTCCTAACTGTTGAGAAAGTTCTTGCACCATAAGGAAAAGGGAAAGCCACAGCTTAAAGTTGCAAAAGTGTAAACCTGGGGGGAAAGGGTGGTGGAAGACTCCTGAAGCTCTCCATTGCTTACAGGGAGGGAGGAAAATCTAATTTCTTTACTGTGTGTATGAGCCCTTTCACAAAGCCCAAGACCCAGGCCACCTTTCCATTCCGTTTTTCCACGTCTCCAGCCAGCACGGCCCCATCTGTTCCATGGATATGCCTGGCCTACTCCCCAAGAGTCCATGAAAGTCTAAGGTCCTGCCAGGCACACCATAAGAAGTGGCCCCACCGGTTTCCCCAGCCTGGAGCGCTATTGTGAACTCCATCAGGGTGGAGTTAGGAGCTCCTCAAGCCGAGCAGGAGGGCAGAGGAAGAGTGGTTCCTGGTCAGGGCAGCCAGAACTCGCTGCCAGCTGAATGAGGCCAGCTAAGGCTGACCACTTTCTCTGTCGGGAAGCAGAAAAGCAATCAGAGAAAAGTGGGCCCTCCCGGGTCTGAGAGTTGTACCAAGTAATGCTGAGCACTTTACAGAGTATTTATGAACCCAGAAAGACATGGCAGAGCCTGCGACCTGGATGATTTGTTGCAAAAGAGTCCATTCTTCTCCCTAGAGTTCCCTGTACTCTGAACCTAAGTACCCGTCTGCTGCTTATGGAGGCTGCGCAGCAAGCTGAGGGAAGAAAGCCCCGCACTGCCACTGCTTAGCTACACGATGGTAAACAAGTTACTCAGTTCTGTGCCTCTGTTTCCTCATTTCTAAAACGGGTGTAGCAGCAGCTCCCTGAGAGTTATCCTGCGGATTAGGTGAGTCACTGTGTATTCATGTGTAAGCAAGGGACTTAGAACAGGGTTCAAGGGTGATAGATACTGGCTCCCATTGTTGTAAGGCAGAGGAACCTGGCCGGACTTGGTCCTGCCGCGCTCTCCCACCCGGCTACTTCTGTAAATGTCTCAGAGACATTTACAATGTCTCTGGTCTGGAGAGCTCCCAGAACGCAAGGCTTATAAACTGTGAATGTCTATGAAGAGATTAAACGGGAAGATGTGTAGCATATGTTTGTGATATGTAATGATCTCATTCATCTGGGGGAACGGTACATACACGTATGTATCTCATGGTACTCCCTTCCGCCTCATCCTCGTGTCTTCCTCTTCCTCAGATCTCTTTCCCATCTCCATCTCCTTTTTTTTTTTTTTTTTTTTTTGCTTTTTCAGTTATTTGTAATATTTTTCATAAAAGAGAAACCATGCAATATTTATTCTTTTATGTCTGATTTATTTCACTTAGTGTTATGGTTTAAAGATCCATCCATTTTCCTACAAATGACTCAAATTTGTTCTTTTTTGAGACTAAGTAATACTCCACTGTGTGTATATTTTTTTGTTCACTCATCTATTGATGGGTACATGCTGCTTCCAAGCGTTATAAGCTCTCATGAACTGTGTTATTAAAACCATGGATCTGCATGTACCACTGTATTACAATCACTTTAATTCTGGTAGGAATATAACCAGAAGAGATATAGATGGGTCAAATGGAATTTTTATTTTTATCTTTTTGAGAAATCTCCATAGTGATTTCCTAAATGGGAATTTGGGGTTTTTTTCCTTTTGTTTTGATTTTGGTTTTTGTTTGTTTTAATGTTTTACAAAGTCTGTGAGAAAACACTGGTCTTCTTATCTTGACTCTAAAAATAAAGCAGAATAAAAAAAGTCAAAACAAGTTTTATTTATTTTTTATACAAAATATTTATACTGTAGATATCTACACCGCCAGGTACCATGCTTAGAACTACAAATATGAATGAGATACCATCTCTCTTGTTTCAGTCCCCACAATTAAATTATGGAATAAATCACATAAAGAAAAGAAATCACCAAACAAAGAAAAAGAAGGATGCACGCATGGTAGAGAGCTGCATGGGAAGAACTGCCTTACCTGACTCAGGCCTGCTAGGAGGCTTCGTAGAAGAGGCGCCCCCTGAGCAGGGTCTTGAAGGCTGAGTAGGAGTTTGCCAATTGGATGTGTGGGCAGGGGCATTTTAGGGAAAGGGAGCAGCTTGTAGAACATCACATAGGAATAAGGCAGCTTAGTATATTGTTTATTATTTGGGGAGCTGTAAATAGTCACTGTGTACAGAACAGAGTGGGTAGGAGAATAGTGTAGGATGATATGATTAGGAAGAAGGTCCAAACAGAAAGGATTTGGAGGCCAAGCCAAAGAATTTAGATGTCTTTCCAGAGACTGATACTCCTCTGCATTTCCACTGAAATGCCGTTCACTAATACTGGGAGCTAGATACAGAGGATGTATGCCACATTTGGAGAGGTTAGGACTGTCTAGGTGACAGGCCTCTCGTGCATAGGAAAACTTACTGAACTATCTCTTTATGTAAAAAACTCACATGGAGCGTTGCATTTTACTTTATAACAATATTAATTAGTTAATTTTTGAATCAAGGTCTCACCATGTTGCCGAGCCTAGCCTGGAATTCCTGAGCTCAAGCAATCCTGCACGCGACGCTGTACCTGGCTTATTAAAATCTTTGGTGCATATTTTCATACAAAAGTGATATTTTGGCCAGCTAAGCTCTTAAGCTACAAGTGGACAAATTACCACTGTCTCCTCGAATCATGAGCTCAAACATAACTTTACAGCAGCATGTACATACTGGTTCTGGTTTCCTTGCCACAGTGCCGTTAGGGCTGACAGGAGGCCACCGGCAGGGCAGAAAACCTCTTTAGGGAAACACCTCTGTCCACACCAGCTCAGACCTCTCCACGTTCCCCTCAGTCAGAGCGCTGTCAGCCTACAGTGAAACTGCCCATCCTCTGCTTTGTTCCTACACCAGGGGCCCCGGAGATGGCAGGCTGCATTATTGGTCTCTGGGTCTTTTACACCCAAAGATGCCAAAGGTGAGTGATGAACAGCCAAATGAGAGAAATGCCAGCCCAAGGAGGCGTTGAGCGAGGGGACTTGGGGACTGGTGCTCTGTGGCGTGTGATGATACCAGAACAAGGGGTCCCTGGGGTCGCTGACCAACCATGTTAGTGATGGCTGAGGAGGAGAAAGCCCCAAAAGTAGATGCTAAGGTCGTGTCTTTAGGAGATCATAAGACAGGGCCATATTGCATGGCCATGATGATGATGATGATGATTTTGGTGATGTGGATCTGGGAGCGTGCCTCCATCTATCTGCTCTGAAATGGCCATGACGCTTTCTCATGGGAGTGCCTGCTGGAGGTTCTTGTTACCTCTAGGGTTTGCCCTCACAGAGTCCTGGACTGAGCCCAGCTGTTCCCGGGCAAACTCACCAGGGCGCATGCTCTGCAAAAGATGGACAGAGACGGAAGGGCGGGCAAGGATGGCTGGTGTTTCCCACAGGAGCATGGCTTAAAAGATTAAGATTTGTGGTTTGGCTCAGTTGACCTTGGGCTGCAGAGATCTAACAGAGCTCCCTCCCATCCCTGAACGCCTGCTCCAAGCTCTTCCCTTCTGCAGCTCACCCAGAGATCAGCCCACCGCGAAGTCAACACAGACCTCAAAGCCCAGACTCGGGCTGGAAAAATGGCAGAAGAACGTGACCTGGGAGGGTGAGGAGGACACAAAGGGTTTGGGTTTGTGACTCAGGGTCGCGGGAACGCATCCATCAAGACGGTAACAAGGCGGGGTGAGTGTGGGGCTCACAAGTTTGCGTGGGTGGCCAGTTGCTGGACTGGGAACCGACCTGTGTCCCCTGAGCCTTGTATCCTTGGATGTGGACAGGGGCAAGGACTTGGCTGAACTTGGGGCTGTCAGAAGCTGGTGATGGGGTTGGGTTGGCACACATGAAGCAGCTGGGCTGACACTAGGTTGGAGCCATGGCTTAGGGAAGGGGTGGTACCCCAGTGAATCTCCAGGTGCCCCATCTGCCAGATCCGCCTGTGCTGGCCCTTCCGGTGCAGTCTCATCCCTTTGCACTGTCACCACCCCACCTCCCCATCCGTGTTACGTGCTGAGTGTTCCTCTGGACGATCTGACTTCTGGGTTTCTCATGAAAGTCCAGTCCCTGCCCAAATGTGTCTTACTTAGCATATTTTGCTTCTAGAACTTTGGCTAACAATTATGTCAAAGTCCTCAGTTGGAAGCCATAGATAGTTACTCTGACTTATTTAAGGAAATAAATTGT